TTATTTGGGGTTTCATTTAATAGCTTATTATGATGAGATTATGTTGAGTCTATACATTTCAAAAGTTTTATTTAAATAAGCACTAAAGTTTTCCTAAACGTGTCTTAACAAAGACAAAATGACAAAATAATAAACAGAACAATTGCAGTTATAGCAAGCATATTAATTGACTGATATTAAATAACCTGTTGTTTAGTGATTCATTAGAACAGGAATGGACAATCCTGTTCTTGTTTGGCTTGTGGTTCTACTTGTCATGTTTTCAACTTGTCAACTTGCCACTCATCAAGATCATTCAGTTCATTATCAGCTTAATGGGTCCATTTTAACAGCGCTCGCTAACTCTTCAGGTGCTGCTTCTTTTAGAGACAGAAAGCTTTCAGATACACTGGCCTTTCTTGAACAGGATTGCTTGGAGACCCTGAAGAACACTGCTACATTTTATGCAAGTAAAAAAGTCATTTCCAGTTAATGTTAGTGCTTTTTAGGGATAAAAACACCCATAAGCTTTTTAGCCGTCATTTTTCTAACATAAATGTTCACACAACATACTATCCTGATTTTCTATTACTTGTTTAGGCCATTCCAAGTCTTGCCATTTTGTATTGCTTTGCTTAAATCCTCTAATACCCCTTTTCTAGTTAGGTTAACCACTTAAACAATTAAAAAGCAAAAAACCCCTTAGGAAAATAAAATTTAATCCTGTTCATTCCATTTAAAATCAGTCAAAATCAGTTTCTTTCCCTTTAGATGTGCATTTTGAATGTTGTGCATACCTATATTGGACATACTTAGGTGCTGAGAGCTTTAATAACCATCTTACAGTACAATCATCAATGCACTGCATTATCATGACAAATTGAGTGCACTTTCTTCAATATGTTAGCCAAGGAAATTAAAATCTAAAGGTCTGTTATTATATTACCCTTTTCAGAAACCGGTTCTCCTTAAAGAGTTCATATCTGATCACTGAGTCACCTGGCTGTCTATGATCCATCCAACCATTTTCTAACTGCTTCTCCCAATTCGGGATTGCAGGGGAGCTGGAGCCTTTCGTCATAAAAGGGTGCAAGGCGGGATGCACCCTGGACAGCCTAGGGCCAATTTTCCTAGAGGCCAATTTTCCTAGAAGCCCATTAATGTACCACTATGCTTTTGGACTGTGGGAATAAACCAGAGCAACAGAAGAAACCCACATGAACACAGGGAGAACATACAAACTTCACACAGGTAGCACCCCAGATCTGGATCCAAACCCAGGGCCCTAGTGCTGTGAGCCAGTGATGCTAACCATTGTGCCACTATGTCGCCCAAGCCTGTCTGTAATATGGCAGAAACTACATTTCAGATTAGTGAGAAAAATGTTAAGCACTCAGTTTTATTCCAAACAATTCCCCACTTCCTTAAGTATCCTGTTGTTTTGTTCATCTTAGTGTGTTTTTTTTTCAAACAAGGTTATGTCACTGGCATTAAATAAACATCAGCAATTTGGTAGGAAGCAGTAACTTGACATTTCTACTCCACAATGACTGCTAGTGCATGGAAATGACTTGGGAAGCTGGACCCCAAGGGGGTTTCTCTGAAAAAGCCTTCAGTTATATGAGGGATACTTATTCCCTCCTGGCTGTAATACAGTATCACTTTTTGGATTCTGAGGCATTTAAATGTTTTATTCACGACGTCCTTATAAAAGGACACAACTGGATGAAGGGTGGAAGTAAATAGCCTTTTATTTTCGGCTCTTTTTTCTCTTTTTTTTGAGGGATTCCTGAACTGTTTGAAATTATGTTGATGTGGTAACAAGTATCACTAATCACAAAGAGTGCTAATAATATAAAGTCTGTATTTAAGTTTTATATTTAATTATTATCAATAGAATGTATGTTAAAATGTGTAAAAAACATTAATAGAATGTGCCTTTAAGACATAGCTTTAATAATCAATAGCAACACCAGGCCAGGGTTGCTGTGGTGCCTGTTTGAAATTTACCGTATGTACCCCAATATCAATAACCAGCGAAAGATTGTGATAAATGAACAAGTTGTTAGTTGTACTTTCTGAAGCTCATATAGTGCAATTCTGTGGTAAGCTGCATTGAACTGGAGAGAAAAAAATACATTTACTCTATTGTGTAAGCTGGGACTCCAGCTGCTGGACAAACTGTTTTTCATCTTACTTCAGACATACTGAATTATTTATGTTGACAAACGGGGTGTTCAATATACTCTGTGGACAACACCTTTGAGAAACAACTGGATTTATATTCTCTCTTCTAGGCACCATTTAACCAGACTCAATTTATTACAGTGTAATGTTAAAGAGCCTACAATCCATTTTGAGTGATGGCTGCCACAAAATGCTGTGTTAGCCTGAGCAATTTCTTTCCGTTGTCTCTAAACTTAGCTTTCTGTAAGATTTGATAGTCAATTCAGCTAGTGACAGCTTAACTGATGAACATCTACTTGCTTTGTTTAAAAGCACATTAAAAGAATACAACAAGAAGTGGAGATTGCATCAGAGCTGTATATTATGCCCTCCATAACGATTATGCTTCCTCTCATCAAGAAGGACTTGTCCAGCCTAGATAATCAATTTTAAATTACCTTCTTCTCTACCTCCCAGTTTTCCATTAAGTCCCATTATCAGAGGTTCCGAGCAGCTGTCTGGTGCTCAAGCAGCAGCCTTTTGTGTTCCATTTAGCGAAACAAAACTCCATTTCCCAGTAAAGTCTCATGGGGAGAAGTGGTTAGATGCTTATCCACCCAGAGCTGACTCTTCATCTTTTTTCTTTTTCCATCCTGTGTATTTAAACACCTCACTGGTTCATTTTCTATACTTGTAAACATGGTTAAATAGTAGACTACATAAGTGCTGTGTCGGTAACTGTGTCAGCTGCAGCAGTATTGGTTCGTACGATGTGCCAATCAGAACACGTCATTTCAAGGTGTACTGTTCATGGATCCCTCCATGACACTGAGTTTACTCTCGTGGCTTGGAAAGAGAGGACGTTGAATTTTTCTTCAGTGCTGAGCAAAATCGCCTATCTGGACTTGTGGAAATGTGGAGAACTTAAAAAGTCATTGTGACATAAAATAATGTTCTCCCTGGAAATTCAATAGATAGCACAACAAATGTTTGCAATGCACTCCTGTGTCTCAAAGCTATATTGAATATATTGAACAGGAGAGCAGTTCTTATTCTACGAGGGATATAATGGAAATTGAATAGAACCAATTTACTGCATTGGACAGTAAAAGCAGTTTTGTTTAAGATGAGATGTTTACTGTATGTAATCTGTGTTTTATGAAAAATTGATTTCCATGGTAAGCTACTAATCTATTCTATGTGGCAGCCCTAAATTCTGGTAACAGTATTGCTGTTTAAATGTACTTTTCTTTAATTACTAAAATGCTCCATTATGAAGATATCCTCTCCTCCATTCAAAACCTGAACTTTCAATTTTCTTCATAAATTTGTTTCATACGGTCTTCATAAAACGACATAGAATTTTTTGTATCTTGCTTGAGCCATATACCTACAGTAGCCTAGCAGTCTGTTACAGGCACACAGTTTCTGAAATTAAGGGCTCAAGGGTTAAGCACCAGGAGGAGGAGATCAGCTTATTATTTTATTGGCCATATACAATTTCTTGTATTAGGAATTTGTCTTTTTGCATACCCCAACTTGCTCTCCATGAGACACACATACAGGGAGGGAAGCTTGGGGTCAGAGCGCAAGGTCAGCTATATATACGGTGCCCCTACAGCAGTTGGGGTTAAGGGCTTTGCTCTCAGGGGCCCAATGGAGTAGGATTCCTCTGCCGGCTGCGGGATACAAACCAGCAACCTTCCAGCCACAGGCGCAGATCCTTAGCCACCGCCCAGGTCGTACTAAACACACATTTTCAAGTAAATATGGTCTTTATTCCAAATTTTTATGTGAGATTCCTTGGTGGGAAACAACATGGCTTGGTAGTTTGTTTCATATTTCCACAACCTCATATGGCCTCATGTTATCAGTTTTTTTAATGCATTTACATACAACATCCACTGTTAATTATGAAAATGTCCACTGGGTTGACTTTATCAGTGTCTTTGAAGATTTTAAATAATTGTGTCAGGTTCCCTCACCAACTTGTCTGTTCAAAACTTAAATTGTTAAGTTCCTTTTGGTGTACATGTAGATTGTGAAGGAAATGGTCAAAGGATATCTTGACCACAGGTCCTACAGGTTTAATTATTAGTTAAACAGGCTAATCATCTATTCAGATCTTTAGGACAGTTATTTACTAATCAGGACATTTTGTTTTCATTTCTTCTGCTGGGACAGCTTTATGCAGTGCTGAAGCATTCCCAATGAAGTACAGACATGCCTTTGGGCTTCAGAGTGAACAAACCTCTTTTCTGTTTCATGTGTTTCCATTCTTTAGACCCTCAGTTCAAAAGCTCATAAAAAGGATTGTTTTATTTTCCAGGTAGCCATATGAAAATATCTGTAATTTAAATGCAGACCTTGATCAGATGTATATATGTATACATGTGGATATTCTGTCTGTGGTGGTGTGAAGAGAGTTTTAAGAAAGCATGATCAGTAGATACACCCCACTGAAGATAAAAAAATATATTTTATAGTGTTCTTGCCAATGCAGTGAGCAAATCAGTATTGGGAGGTATAGGTGTTGAAATGTGACATTGAAAGTGATCAGCTTTTTTGTTGGAAGAAATCATCTGAAGAAATAGTATGAAGAGTGTTCTGCTTTGAAAAACATATATTGCTTGTTGACAAAATGCAGAATGCATTGTTTAAATCAGCAGTTAGTTAATACAGGTGCAATATCATGGTACGAATTGTATTTGGTGGGACACAGATAATCTGACTGTATTTAGTGGTGGTGGGAGGGTGGTCATTTTATTATGAAAGAACTCCAAAGTATGCATTATCACTGCATAGCTCTTAGGATATCTGTCTGGTGCTTCATGGTTCCTAATGCTGTGTTGCAGGTGTTCTGTCTGGAGCTTGGCAAAGTGTCGAGAGAGAAAGTGTTTCCCATGCACAAGACCAGTGTGGATGGGGTGGAGGACATGTCCACATTGGCTGAACTTCATGAGGCTGCCATCATGTACAACCTTTACCTGCGCTACCAACAGGACAACATCTATGTGAGTAGCAAATGATACAGCTGTATCAATGCCTATAACATTACTGTCCATTTTGAGTCATTATAGCTTTTTTGCAATGGAGTGTCATTTTCTCTGCCTCTCCCCTTATTGTCAGAAATATGGTAGATTGTTTTCAGGTGTCATAATGATGATCACCACCTCCAAGCACTTTGAGATGGGGGGGGGTGTTATAACAATGCACAGCACAAGCAGAACTGCATTTTAAACGATTATTTCCAAAATTTGTCACTGAATCTCATCCAATTAAAAACGGGTTTTCAAATGTCAAAACAGAATTTTTAAAACAAATTTTATTTTCAACAGTCTCAAAATATTTGAACAAGCTGGTTATAATACAAAATAGATAACGTCCAAAACCGCACAGCGGTGAAAAGTCATCAGAAGAAGACAGTTATAAGAACATGGATTCCTCAGTTAGTTTCAGAACAGCAAATGTAAAAGAAGAAATGACACTTTCTCCTTCCTTAATTGTCAACAGTATGCCAGTGCCCTTTTCTTATCTCACCCAGATCTTCCTACTACTGTCTTGCTGCATATTATTTTATAGGGCCTTTTAAAACGAGGACCTTTAAGTCTAGATTTTGTCTAGATAGGCTGATTTGTGAATAACAGGTGTTTCCTGTCACGAACTCTCAATATAGGAAAATGCCTTTTCTTGGAGGAAAGGGCTTTTTCACTGACTTATTTCCTGACTTTTAAATAACCCACTGCTTTTATACATGACAATAGCTTTCAGATGCTTAAAGAGGTGCAGTGTTATTTGCACTAGATATTGAGGAAACTAGCGACTAAATAGTTTTGATTTGTGGTGACAAGCTGGGCTACAACTAAAGTTAAACACTTTCGAAGTACAGCATATGTATTCATCCCTAATTGTTCATTAGGCAGCATTACCCATTTTAAACGCTTTCATTGTGCTAACACAGCTGGGAACAATGTAAGACCCATAAACCCAAGTATAGTACAATTTTCAAAGGTACCTCCAACTGCATCATTGTTGTATAAACTCGCTGTTCTGCATAGCTGTAGTTTGCACAACATCATAAATGACAGGTAATTGGCAAAGAGTAGTGTTTTCTAATGAATCCCAAATTTGTTTGGTGATTGTAGAGTACTAGCAATTAGGACCAAAAGTGAAAGACTCACAGAAATCTGTGTAATAATTTTCCTGTCTTTAATTTCTGGATCTAAATCCATATAATTTTTACACATCATATGTTGACACCTGAATGAGGCTCAACAGCCAATGTTGACATGATTGGAAGGGGTAAAAACCTTTGCAAGATACTTTATAAAGTAAGATAGTTCTGCCTTTTTGTCCTGTTGTAATTGATTGTTGAATATCGCTGATAAAATACTCTATGACAACCTTTCATCCTCACATTCTGCTTTCAGTACTTTTTGAATATTCAGTTAACATGCCAAGTTCATAGGCTAAATTACCAAAGGAGCATATCTGATAATTTACCCCAAAAAATAGATGCAAAGAACACAGTCCAAGAAATTAAATTACTCAACTGTGCAGAAGGCTTAAACATCATAGAGTCCATCAGGAATTACAATAGATGTTATAGTGTTTTGTACTATTATAACACCTTTGTCTGGTATCAATACACCTTAGTTTGGATGAGAAGACATCTTTTGACATTTGCAATATTTAATTCGCATTGATCAAAATGGGATTGGCTCTAAAAATTAAATAGTTGCTGTTTTATGGTGGACTGTCACCAGAAAATTGTTTTTCTACATGAGGAAAAACATCATTGAGTGGAAATAGTAGAAAGATGCAAAATGTCTAAGACCTTTGCACAGCAGTGAATGGCAGAATGAAAGAAAATAATGGGATTCACCAAAAGGCACATTTTTTTGTAAATTACAAAACATTTACACCCTAGCCAAAGAAAAGTGGTGCAAGGGTCTGTTTACAGACAACTCTTGGCACATGTAGCCACTTACTGTAGTAACAAGGCTGTACACAGTACACTGGTGCTGTGTTTTGCAGTGGGAATCTTGTGTACATTGCTTTGAGTGAGTTGCCATTCTACAAGTGTATTTGTTCTGGCCCCATCTGCTGTACTGACATCACTACTCTCGGGGGGCTTGTAGACAAGCAGTGGGGGGACTGACCCCAGTGCCCTGACTACAGTCCTGCATTACAGGCTCTTCTCCCACAGAATAGACGAGCAACACATTGCACCCAAGGGACCAACTCCATTACCTCATCACAGAGCCTAAGTGTCTTAATGCCAGCCAGCATGTCCTCCATGAAAACCCTTTCTCTGACCCTTTTGCTTCTCCACATCATACAGTCTGTATGTTCCTATTAAAGAACTGTAGTGAAACTGTGCCTAAGTGCAAATATCCTGTCCTTGACTCCATAAAAAGGCTTTGAACTTCTGATCAGCATTACAGTGGCAGAATTTAAGGTGTTACACAACATCGGAAATTCTGAAATTCTTGCCAGTAATTTACAGAGCAAAAATTTCTGAATTATGCCCTCTGTAATCGAACAACTGCTGAAATAACCATTTTTGTATTTATTTTTGTTCAATGTGGCAATTTATATATGAAGTAACCCAGCAGACACTTACTACACTTGTGATGGCTGAAGCAACAATCTCATTTTTCAGTCCAAAACAGGAGGAATGCAGTTTCAGAAGAGGATTGTTTTGCTGCCTCCTGGTGTTGTACAAATGTTATAACACTGACGTTACATAGTGAAAAATTATTTATACACAGTAGTTCATTTATAGGGTATTCTATGAGATTCAAAGGTATTTACTTTAATTTGCACAGTTATGACATTTAAAAATTTTAGACTTTCACAGTGGAAAAAATGGAAAAAATCTCAAAGCAATGCATCTTTAAGTTCTTTTTCAAGTTGTGTCTGGCATGCAGCAATATTTAGATATATTGATTGTTAATAGATGACAGGGTTATCCTTCTTATTTACCAATGTGACGGTACCAAGGCATTTTTGGGAGGCTGAGATAATGTACTCCACCAAATTCCAAGCCTATATCAACTTCTTTAGATTTGTTATTTACAGAAATTATACATTACAGGCTGCATGAATTATCATGTCACCATCATCATCGTGTGAAATTGAATTTATGAATTATTTCACTTGGTCTGCTCCAGTAATTAATTTAAAATCTTAAGATCTGCTTTGGACTTTCCAATCATTTTCACTCATGTTTGTAAACGGTTGAGGGTGGAGTTCCCTGGCTCTGCTTTTTTCCCCCTATGAGACCTCATACTGTTAACCTCATCCTCTAAAATTAAAGACCAATTGAGGGTGATTACTAGAATAGTTTATTAATTGAAACTTAACATTTCAATTTTGAGTTTCAATGTGCAAAACATGAAATGCATCAGAAAATGAATTTGTTAGATATCAGAGTAGTAAATGACAAAGAGCAGATTTAATTGTGGATATTAATTTTCTGTTTGATAGGACATAAGCTATCTGATTATACCTAGTGTGTACATCTGTGATGTTAAGAAGAAAGGTCAATTGGTGCTTAAATTAAATTGATCCTGTTAACATAGAATACCTTTCATGATGTGTTCCAGAGGCACTCCAGTGCTTACTAAAAGGCAAGTACCTGTTGCTTTTCTCTCATTTTCAGTACAAAAAGTGAATTCAAGCTGGCCCTACACACATCTTTTCTCTAGTGCGTGTGACCTTGAAAACCTCCCAAGCCACAGCTTTATTGTCTCTACACTATAGCATCAGAAGTGGAGAGTATACTTAGCAGGATAAGGTGGCCCTTTAATCAATTGTTCACATAGCACAAACCTGAAACTGCATGGAATCATTATGTATACGATATCTAATTTGATCATTAAGTGCTCTTATACATCCAATTTTGTTAATTCATGCGTGTTATCAAAAGGGTTCTCTAAATTATATTATCTATCCATATAGTTTTCCTGTAACTGACTATGTAAGCAATACTTCCATTGCCTCCTCAAAGGTTCTTTTCTCACTAACAAGACTCTAATAAAGTAATTTTAATTTTAAGTAATCCAATGAGCAAAAGCTTAACAACACAGTGTGAATGTGGCCAAGTTACAATTACTATTAAATAATTAAAAATGTGTACAAGGTACTTTAGAAAGAGTGGATAGTTTGAAATCAAACTAAATTTTGAAGGGTAACAAAACTGATAGAGAGGAGCTCCAGAGCTTTTTGTACAGCCAGGTTAGTCACAGGTAGTTGTTTATAAGCTTGAAATTGAGAAAATTGTCTATTTTGGGATAAAACTGGATTTTTGGGGTGTTTTAAACTACAGTTTAAAGAGTATAGGATGTAAAATTAACCTAAAATACAAACTCATACTGTGTATTTAGGAAATATTAAACAATGGAAAAATATATAATATCAAAAGAATCATGTCACTCGATATGTGTTATTAGAATGTAATACTGATTTTGGTTACAAATAATTTTCTTTCATCATTCATTACTGACTTGTTACACTTGAAAGAGTGTTGATTGGGCACAGCTGAGGTGATTTAATCTATTGATTGTGAGTCCTGGGGAAAATCAGAAAAGGTTAAGACCCAATGTGCCTCACTTTTCAAGAGACCAATGCCTTTGTGCTATCAGAGTATTGGAGCAACACCAATTGGAGTGAACAAAGTTGTCTCCAGTGATGCATCTCAGATTTGTGTAGATCACCCTGATCATGAATGTTCATTCATTCATGCATACGCAAATTTGTATAGCATGTGTATACCAGAACCATCGAAGGGTAGGGAGATACAAGTATGGGTGCATGGGCAGGAGTATAGTTGCAAGAGTACTTCATTTGATGATTGATGAGCTAAGTGAAAGAGACAATTACAGTATTTAAACGTGCAGGAGCTTCAGACTGTTTTCATATTGAGACATTTCACTCAAGACGTGAAAAATGGCCCTGTACATACTGTTTTTGTAGGAAAAAATGTTTAATAAGTGGTGGCTTACATTCGCAAAGGACATTAAAATAACTGAAAGGTCATGTGGGATCTGGTTTCAGATTGTTGTCTGCTCAATGTTAAGATGTTTTAATAACCCTGTGGCTTGTAAATGCCTTCTTCTGTCTGTTTTTTCTGCCCTCACCCATGTTACTTTTCACGTCATTGGTGAGGTAGTGTCATTAGCTCTGAGAAATGTCAGCTAGTGTATTTCTCATTTCAATAACTGACTATAAAATTTGATACTGAACGTGGAGGTATAAAATTAATTTAAATGAAACTATTTACATATCACCGTGACTGAAATCCAGGAGACAGACAATCGCGATGGGTCACATCCCTCTCACACATACTCCCTAGGCTGTCAAAACACTTCATGTTTCCATGTCATTCTGGGTGTGGATTTCCTATGTTTAAGGTCATTCATTTTCACTTCTATGGGAGATGAGATTCTTACATTTATTTATCCAGGTCTTCGCTATGACCATTTGTTCACCAGCTGACTCAGTCCTGTTGCCTTTTCCAATAAACATCCACACATGAGCCAATAACACCCCATGTAAATGCCTCTAATTCCAAATCAATATTTTACTCAGCATCTTGTTAAAATCCTGTTTAATCAGCACCACTTCAGACATAGACTAATCACTCTGCCGCTTAAACTTCCAGTGTACAAAGCCAATGTCAGAGTCAAAGGGATAAAATGCTTTGGGAATTTGCTCACCATAAAATATATTCTTTAAAATATTATCTAGAATGACTAATAATAAAGTACTAAAGACATACAGTAAACCTGATCTGTAGGTGATTAACTCTTCTCTTGCCTCTCAGACCAACATTGGCTCCATTCTGGCAGCAGTGAATCCCTACAAGCAGATTTCTGGCCTGTATGATTCCTCTGCTGTTGACCTCTACAGCCGGCACCACCTGGGCGAGCTGCCTCCTCATATCTTTGCTGTGGCCAATGAGTGCTACCGCTGCCTGTGGAAGAGACACGACAGCCAGTGTGTGCTCATCAGGTGAGCTGGCCTCCTTCTCTCTTTCTCGCATTCCTGCTCCTTCCCTTCGTACCCGAAGAAGGCTCAGCAGCGGAGTCGGTGAAGTTCTTTTCCTTTCTGCTTTTCATTGTGGAATTTAGCATTTGCTTATTTAGAAATATTGATGTATAGAGCAGTGACATTTGGTATGCATATAAAGGGAATTATGTGAAAATCATTTTGATTAGCTTTAATTATTCATTACCTTAAATAGTCCATCATCATATTCATAGATAGGAGAAAGATAAAAGTTAGCGGACTAGAAGAATGGTGACTATATGTCTTGATTTGTGGTATTATTACATGGTAAAGCATCTGAACAAAGAAACACAGCAGGTACCCTAGGATTTGGAATCAGAAATCTAAGTTTGACATTTTTATCGGAACACTCCTGTCGTGAGACAGCAGTGCCCACACTTTCATGACTCACACAACCAGCTGACTTCAGAGTAGATGTAGCAATTTGTATGGAGCGGGATTTTTTTAGTTTTTTACATGTGTTCATTGTGTCTCCACAGAGCTACATACTCGATGTAGATTAGTGGGAATGATTGTAGCTGCCCGAAGGATTGGGCCAACATCATGTCTGCCTCATGCCTATTGATTTTCTAGAATCCAAGCCATCATTCTTCGTGCTGCTACGTGCTGCTTCGTGGTCCTTTCAGCCCCCCCTCAACCTCCAACCTCCCAGCATTGAATATGTTTGCATTGATTGCTTACCAGTGCTGATGTCTATCTCATCACAAAGATTTGTGAGCCTGTCTGAGAAGTGGCTTTTTCTAGCCAGTAGTGGTTTCCCTGTCTGGTTGATGAATGGTTTTCACTGTCCAGACACCCTCAATGTCCATCTTCTGCGGTAGTAGAAGTCTTTAATGTCTGAAAAACAGGGAAAGACTGATCAATTGAAAAAAAAATTATAGATGCAGTGGAAATCCAATGCAAAAACCCTACGAGACTATTAGGATAGGATTATTTGAGACTAACAAATATTTCAAATCCTATGGATATGAACCTTTATCAGCTCTATATGTAAAATGTAATGAATAAATTAATTGAAAAGTAAGAAAGATATCTCTACATCTTAAAAGTTGTTCTATTCTTTTAGTTTTCTTTTTGGAATTGACCCCCGCTTGTTTCTTCGTCTTGCTGATGATGTTCCCTTCATCTTCCATAATCATTGCTAATTGTTAATCATTGCTTTTGGCTGTGATGAAAAAAAGTGTACGAATCTGTCATTTGTTAAAGCAGTATGGTAGAATGCAGGGTTTTTACTCCATCTATTTACTTCAAATTTGTTCATTTATAATTAAGGCTTTAATAAAATTACAAATAAATTACAATTTTTCTCATGTGAACCTTCCCTGTTCAATCACACTGTACGGTTAGAGGTGCCATATCCGTAAGATATGACAACATGTGGACATTTCATATCTAATAGCATTATTTGAAAGCATAAGGTCATTAACTGTGGTGTCTTGCTTAAATTCCAGATCCAGCTTATACAACCTGCCATTTTTCAAGTTCTCTTTGTAGTTTAATTGACTGAGTATTTCTTACTTCTCTGTTTTACATTCAATGTAATGAGCTTCTGCAGTGAGAAGCAGGGCTGTAGCATGTCACCCAAGTCTTTGATGCTGGATAAAGCATCCAACTGTTGTAATTGTTTTTGGGATATTCTGACCTGAATTATATACATTTGAAATGCGAATGATTCCTATGAAAATGATGACACATCCTTGCCAGAATTTATTTACAAGCTGAATTCCAAGATGAACAAGACTTCATATAGGCGTAAAGTGACTGTGACAGACCACATCTTCAACCAGGGCAATCCCGTTATACACTTTATACACACTTCAAAGAAAAGTTTAATTAAATGCCTTGTGAGTGTTAATACAATAATTAGATGATTAATCCCCATTGTGGCTATGTACAAAGATTACTGATCGTATAGCGGCCTCTAGTGGTTCATTGCAACTGCAGCCTCTTTTTAAGCCTCTATTTTGTAGTCTAAATGACTCCTGAGTCCCTTTTAGTGATGTGCTGTTGTATGGTGTCTTTCAGTGGGGAGAGTGGAGCTGGGAAGACTGAGAGCACAAAGCTGCTGCTAATGTTCCTGTCTGTGATGAGCCAGAACTCTGCAGGGACCCCAGCCTCGGAGAAGACCACCCGTGTGGAACAGGCTATCATCCAGAGCAGGTGTGCCAAGAGGACTGGGTCAGCGCTGGCTCACCAGAGGCAGAGCCAGATATAACAATGGTTGTATTACTGGTCCTGTAGTGTGCCTGCCATAATAAATACCACACTAAAATAGTAATTTTGAAATTTGAAAAACTGCTTCCTCATTTACATTAATGTTGATGTACAGTATAATTAGATTACCTTAGATCATTACATTCTATAATCACATTAAATACATAAACACTTTTTTAAGACAATCTGAAATCTGCTCACGTTGTCTTGTGCCTAGTAATGGTGAATGTTGCAGGTTAGTAGTCACGTTAATAATAATAATTGCTTACACTTATATAGCGCTTTTCTGGACACTCCACTCAAAGCGCTTTTACAGGTAATTGGGACTCCCCTCCACCACCACCAATAATACTTTTTGGCATTGGCAAAAAACCTCAACCTTAACTTTTTTTTTCTGTCTCTGTAGTCCCATAATGGAAGCCTTCGGAAATGCCAAGACGGTTTACAACAACAATTCGAGCCGCTTTGGCAAATTCATCCAGCTTCACTTTTCTGAGAATGGGAATATCCAGGGAGGATGTATCGTCGACTGTATCCTAAGTTTAAATCACATGACAAAATCCTTCATTTAATCAGTGCAAATATGACTGAATAGCAAAGTGGTTTTCATTAGTGACTCTTCAATTGCTCTCTGCTTTGGTTTTGACTGATCTGAAGTAATAACTCCCTTCTCATTCAAAAGGAACAGAACTGTGTGAACCAATTATTTCCTTTTTAAACTGAGATTTTTTAAGAATGATTAGAATAGTGCTTATTCGGGTAATTTGGTACTTCAAGCTAAAGAGCATAAATGATTCATTCATTTTTAATTGGATATATCATTTTTTTGGCAATGAAGTTGAGGAACTTAATTTGACTTGTATTTCTCCTAAGATTTTGTGTGGTTCGAATAACATAAAATTCAACTGAAATTTCTCATCATTCCTGTTAATTAAGCAGTTGTCGGCAAATTAAAATAGGACAATGGGTGAAAATGGAATCACCTGTCACTGAATTTCCGTAATTTAATACCACACATAAAACTCACTGTAGTCCAAATAGGGAGTACAGCCAATATTAATATCGGGGCCTTTTGTGCATTTTTACAGTCTATACCATAATCCAATTAACTATAACTACATCATATGAAAAGTTGGTCCCACAAAATAGACTGGCTTTGTACAGATTTTAATTCTTGTATGTCTTCTATTTTTTCATTCCTAATGCTAAAGCTTTGCCTCAAAAACCCATCTGTATAACAATGTTTTACTTTTTGCTTATCAATTTTCAATTTTCTGTTTAATAAAAACAAAGTGATATATTCTTAAAAACTGTTGCAGCAATGCCTGGTTATATTTTTTTCTAATGAGAAAATTATGCAAAAAACGTATTCAGGATGCTAATTGAAGATGATACTAAATTTACTAAACTAATTTAATATTAACTAAATTATTTTTTTCCATTTCTTGCAACTTGGGAAATTTGTATTTCAACATGTCAACATTTTGTGAATATGACCCAGAATCTGATGGGGATGTGAGGTGCAGTTTCAAACTGCTTACTACTTTTAATTCCAGAACCAACTTCTTTAATTTTATTGGAGTGCGCAGTATTTAATAGAACAAGGTGAATTACATTATTGAGGAATGTTTATAGAATATATTCAGGAGTCTAAAGGCTGCTTCCTTAACCTCTCTGTACCAGATTTGCTTGAAAAGGTGACTTGATGAACCTGAACCAACTTGCTCCTGTGCCAGAGTGGCGTTTGTTTCTGTATCCTGTTTCATACAATCTTTCAAAACGAATCAAACTGTAACAAATAAATGTTGCTCATCATGTAAAGGGAGATGTATAACAACTAGATTTATACCCATGGTGGCTGTAGTGTTGTCAATTTATGACAGACCCAGAGCAGTGAAACCAAAAAGTAACTAAATTAAAATGTAAGACATGAGGAAATATACTGACATCCCATGTAACATGTTTTGAATAACTGGAGAGTATGAAACATACACTGGTGATAGTTTGACAATATGAAGTAACACAAACCACAATAATAGTTACAATTAACTGGAATATTTTAAAAATCAGTAATTTGTCAAGCATTGGGATTGTTCGTCCACTAGTGGGGAAAGCGAGTTGGCTTTGGACCGTCATGAGACAAGCTCGTTTTACCCTACTGATGATGGGTTGTTATAATCATAATCCTGCTCAGGCTAGAGGATCCGCAGGTTCAGACATTTGTTGTCTGTGCTTTGCTGAGGAACCAACAGTGGGAAAACTACCATCTGTAGGATTATAACTGAACACCTTTGAGTCAGAGTTCCCTCTAAAAGGTTTTCAATAAAATGTTTTATATAGCTGGAACGTGATATTTTTGTGTGTGAATAGAATAGTCCTACCAAATCTTTCTCATTGGTTTTGGTCTAAAGTAAAAGTCATTCACAATATTTTCTCAGAGCATATGCTTTGCACGTGAACCAACATTTAATTATGGAGTTTTAAAATCCCTTTTTTTCCTGAATTGCAGAACCGTGTGGTGCGACAGAACCCAGGAGAGAGAAACTATCATGTATTTTACGCACTACTGGCAGGAGCTGATGAAGAGCACAGAGGTTAGTGTTCATGGCTCTTGAGACACAAGGGACAAAACGTTGTCAGTTGCATCCAGTTTGAAATGATTAAATCTTAATTTGCACTCCTAACTAAAGTGTGGGGTTAAGTTCTTTAAACAGAATACATCTTGATAAGAGGATGTTCAGTGTTTCCCATGGAAAAAGGGCATGCTCTGCAAGTTACTATTGTTTTCATGACAGTAGCCCATCAGTGCTGTTTCACAGCTATTGGGTCCTGGAAAAGATTTTGGACTGTGGTGCTTTTTGTGTGCAAATGGATATTGCCAGTTGCTTCAGTTTCCTTCCAGCTCTCAGAGGCATACCGGTTAATTGGTATGAAAATCTATTGTTCATGTATGTGCATATCTGTGCACTGAAATGGAGTGGTATCCCAACCAGGGTATAGTCTTGTCTTGTACCCTTTGTTTTTTGGGACAAGGTTCAAATTGTCAGAACCATTGCTAGGAGAAAATGGCATTTTGATAATGGCCCATCCATTCAGCATTCTTTATTGCAATTATTAGGTATGTTGACTAGATCTTTTTGTGACCTGTGAGGTTTGTTTTTCCCAGAGCTATATTTCCTGACTGAGCCTGAATCCTATCATTACCTAAGCCAATCAGGGTGTGTGCAGGACAAAAGCCTGGATGACAAAAGGCTATTCAACAGTGTCATGGTGAGTTCTGTTCTGCTATCACATCAGTCTGTGCTTATTTTTTACTTTGGGGTAACAAAGATCAAGCATCAAATTAGCTTTTTTCATACAGGATAAAACTGGAATTGAGAACAGGATTTTGCTGTGGGCTATCTACACAGTTTAAGCACTGGGTGCCCCTAAAGATCTCAAATCAATGTATCAATGTATTTACATAACCTCAATTTAATATCTGAGGTAAAGCTAAATGAGGTGAAAGAAATCCATTTATTGCATATATTTCTGCATCTGTGACTAGCTTCTTTCTGATTGTCTGGTATCTTTACTTTAATATTTTGGATAAAATGAAGTGTTTAGATTTTGTGTTAAAGTGTTGAAATAAATGATTTCACATTGATGTTATAGTGAAGCAAGATTTACAGACATGTTTCAGTACAAAATGAGTTAATAGCTCACAATAAGGGAATTGCAGAAGTGATCAGGTGATTGAATTGAAACTGGGCTGCCCTTCAATCTCGACTTATAGGAAGCTCTTAAAGTGATGGAGTTCAGTGAAGAGGAGATCCGGGACATGTTTAAGCTGCTCTCTGGGGTCCTGCAGATGGGCAACATTGAGTTCATGACAGCTGGAGGGGCTCAGATTACCACCAAAGGAGGTAAGGAATAGAGGTGCTCAGGAGATCTGGCTAAAGCAATCCAGTTCTCTGAATGTTATAGTTTCTTATTCTCACCTTAAAATAGGTAAATAGTAACTGGTTGAGAAAATACACCAAACAATTCACTGATTGAACTGATCTTAATGTAACTCTTTAATGTTTTAAAACTCTTTTAACTACGTTTTTAAAATCAGTTATAAGAACAGTTAAAGTTAATGTGAAGTAAAAACAAGAGAAAGATTTAAACTGATAATGGTATAGCAAGAGTTCACAACTAAAGTAAAAGGTCAGTATTGCCAAGCAGGAAGAAAGTTAAAGCTTTTATTTCATTGTTTTCCATTAAGAAAATATCTATACATGCCATCATAAAGCTTTACTGTACAGCTGCACTATATTGTATTGTCATTTGACATCTGAGAGATTTCTGTGAGAGAAAAAATGGTTTGGCCCCTGGTATAATTTAACTTTGTTTCCATTTACTACTGTAATTGTGCCCAAAAACTACTTGATGCATTCTGGTTTAAACAGCGATGTAAAGAATATGCCTAGAGCTAGAATTTCTTAACCACAGATGTGTCTTGACCCTGTTTCTTTAAAATTCAGAAAATCAGCTCATTTGAACTGTGACCAAGTACAGTATGTGCCACCGTTGCCAGAAAATCAATATTGAACTTGGATGATCAGAAGATTAATTGACCTTAGCTTTTTACATTGAACTCTAGGATTCAAAAGCAAAATATGCTGTGATTCAACAGTAATCAGTTCTGATGCAATGATGGATAATTTTCTGAAATGTTCTGTGTTTTATGTCTCAGGAATTCCTACTGAGGCTGAACACTGTATGAACAGTACACTGCATAATATGCAGTGCTTTGTTAAGACAGAAAAGTGCCCTTACAGTACAGTACTAGCGTTGATGCTTGGCATGCTGTGGCATCCTTGTGAACTATTGGGCATTGGATGAATGTGCTGGGCTTTGGAGGTGGTGTTCATTGACATGTTTCCCTGTGCACAGTGATCAGCAATGTGAGCGAGTTGCTGGGCCTGGACTCCTTCCAGTTGTCTGAGGTGCTGACCCAAAGGTCCATGATCCTGCGAGGGGAAGAGATTTGTTCTCCTCTCACAGTGGAGCAGGTAAATTTCAACCTCCAGCCAAATCTTGCCTCAATAGCCATATATATCTTACACGGTATTTTGCATGTGATTAAATTCATGGGCAATCATAATTTGTTTTGCACAACATCCTAATGACACTACATTTAATGATAAACTTTCATGATTTCATTTTTATTGAGATGTGCAAGCTTTTGTCGCAGTCTGTGCTCATGATATGTGCAGTATCATAAAGGTATTCATTCTGAGTATGTTGCTTTCACACGCATGCAGTGATTTTACATTTCTGGTAGAGAGTGGCTCAGGTTTTACACTTTTTGTATGCAGGCTAATTATTGAAACCACCCATCTTAATCCTGTTTTGGAAAGTAGATATATATCTTTCTTGACTACTCTATAGGACCAAGATTTTCAACATAATAATGGTTACAAATGAGAGGTGGCTATTTGTCTATTTAGTCAGTTTGGTGGTCATTTGCTAATATGGATCTCATCCAACAAGTTCTTGAAGGAAGCCTAGGCTTGAAGAACATGACTGGGTTCTATTCAGACTTAAACTAGCACAACAATGCAACATAAGGAACCACCATCAAAAAAGGTGTTAAGGGCAAACAACATTTCAGGATATAAGAGGATTAGTTTACATTATTTAAGAGTGAAATTGCAGAGGGCATAAACAATTTCCTAAGTTTATTTCCATTACACTTTGGGGTACAGAGGCATCTCCTGGATGGGAGTATTGCAGAGTCACAGTGGAGAGAGTGTGCATTCCTTCATTAAAAACCTATGTTCACTTTTTTCCTCAGCTTATTACAATTTGCTGTTCTGACTATTTTTCCTAAATCCAATGATGCTTTCATTTGTTTTCAAAACCTTTCTTGTTTCATACTCCCATATCCCACTGGGTAAAGAAATGCATGCTGTAATGCTCACTTTTGCATGTATTTCCCTGTAGTTTCTCTTCATGTCCTCTTGTTTGTGTTTCACTGTTCATTCTGAAGGAGTACTGTGAACTGAAATTGTCCGTGCCTTTAAGTATTTTGAATATTTAGATGACATAACCCTTGCTGTCTTATTTCAAGTCTACAAAGGCTCTGTTTTTAACACTGTCAGCGTAGGACATTACTGTAAGAACCCAGGATGCATCTCATTAGTCTTCTTTAGAATAAAGGGCACTGATATATTTTTTAAAATGTGGTCCATAATTATAATGTTGTACAAAACAATCCTTTAAGCCAAAGTAAAGAATTATGCAATTTTAACATAGTGTCTACTAATTCCTTGATTTTGAACATAAATCCCATTTGACCTTTAAGCATTAATTATTTTTACAGACTATCACTGATTGTTAAAATACAAAGTTAAAATCACCCCAGTGATTTTGCTACTTACTGTAGGTTTACTTTTTTCCCCACAGCTTATTACAGTTACAGTTTAGTTTTTCCTAAATTCATTGAGTACATAGAATACTAGGTTATGTTTAACAAACTCTTTAGATTTAAATAGAATGTTTATACTATATATGAAATTTAAAAATGCCATTGGAAACGCTGTCCTGTGCTTGCATAAGTCTCAAACCAATTAGTTATGTTTCTTTCAGCCTGTGTTATATTCAGAGTAACAAACAATAAGTTTGAAAATGTGCATACCTGTTTCTTAGCCTGTTGTGCCCCTCTTTGTTGCTGTTATTTTTTTCCAAAGTGTCTTTGAAAATGGAAGGAATGGCTGGCATTAATAATGACATCAAATAAGAACTAAAAAAGGAGTGAGAAAGTTCAAATTGCTACAGTTGCCAGCAGAGGGAGTATGTCATTGTGACTCTATAGGAATGATAACTTGGTTCTTAGCATTTTATTCTTAAACCGATGGGTATAAGAGCAACATGTAGGCATGGCAGTTAGTGCTGCTACCTCATATTTTGAGTGTAGGGTTCAATTTGAGCTTTCTGCACATTCTGTGTGGAGTTTGCATGTTCTCCTCAGTGAATCCTGTGATGGGCTGGGCTTTCATCCAAGGTGCAGTCATACCTTGAGACTTAAAGGATAAGGGTGTGACAGCACTCTGGGTTCCTGTGAATATCAATAATGTATAATAACACATTATACAAAATGGAGAGGAAAAATAGAAAATAGAGCTCGAAATATTATAATTAAAATAAGCAAAGTAAACCTTCAGTTTAATGGAGTAATATGTGGGAAAGAGTGTTGCTGAATGTCCATTAAATCATTAAAGTTTATTCAGCCTAAAAAAACTGAGAAAAATACACAGAAATTTATATAATACAATATATATGCTTCTGAATCTTCTGACTTATTTTTTTAGCAACAGCAATCAATACAGTCAATGAAAATTGTTCCTGTGCAGTTTTTCGTAAATATCATAAATATACAAACTCTTTATTTCATGTGTCATAAATATACTGTTAGAAATTGCTGAAACATAGAAAAAAGCAACAACCATCATAAGCAACTGACTTACCCCTATAGGTCTATTGATATTCTCGAATTCCAAAGTATGAAATTTTTGTTTTCACTTAGTTTCATATTTGTGCATTTCCCATATTACTGTGGGAAAAGGCAGACTATATTTCTAATTTTACAAAAAAAAATTCCCCTGCAGGAGAATTTGTCCATTACATCTGAATCATTGATAGTCAATTAAACCAAGGGTTTACTGTAGTTAAATAACGAAATGCCAAAGATATACCTGAGTGGTTGGTATAATTTGAGGCACGTACGTTCTTTATTCTTTGGCACAGCTCTAGTGAAAGAGTAATAAATCAAATGTAAACAAGAAAAAGCTAATATTAAAAAAACACAAACAAAAGGGCAGAAAATGTTGCTTACAACATTAAATATAATGGGTATGAAAATGGCAGAAGTGTTTTATACAACTTTAACCTGAGTTGTTTTGAAATCACCTTGATCTTCATGGTTGAACCTTACAGAGACAGGTGTACTTATTCATTTGATTGATCAGAAATCATGTGAACCACTATTATGGCACATAGTCAGAGACTGTTTTACTAATTGTGTGGCTCACTTAGACAGTTTTGAGCACCTAATTTTAGGCTTGCCACTACTTATGCAATCATGACTTTGACATTTCTCTTTCATACTACCTATTTATGTCCTTTTTGTTTTTGCTTTGAATGTGTGTAGCAGATGGTGTATATTTAACAAACTAATTGGTGCTTCAAAGTGTCACAACTGCAAGCTTTAAACTGACAAAATATGAAAGCTGTGCGAGGGTCTGAGGCCTTTTACATTGCACTTTATAGCAGTGGATTGCTCTGGGAAGCAGGAGAAAAGACTAAGATCAATGGACTACTGAAGGTTGCCATAAAGATCTTCTCATTTGTATCGAGTTCACCGATTGTATAATTATTAACTGAATGAGTTAGTATTTATAATTAAGAACCATGTAGTAATTTCTAAATTATGGTAGCTTACTAACTGTCAGATTGTGGTGATTATATCAATATGCTTTTTACTTAAATGCTTTCTTGTCTCACGGGGGTAAAGTGAGTTTGGTCAGATCTGCCAAGTATAGTAGTAGTGTAGGTTTGAGACTGGCTAGGATGATTGATGTCTCTAAATTGTCCCCTAGTCCCACCTTTTACTGTATGTCTGCTATGCAGGTTAGGCTCAGGGTTCTGTGGTTCTCATTAGGATGAATTTGCCATGGATAATGGATGGAATTTATGATGTTCATAATGTAATGTAAGTGTGAAATGTTTCTTTGCTGTCATGATTTCATTATATTCATATTTAAATTGCGCAAAACCAAATGTATTTACAAATTCCAATGACACTGAAAGAGCCTTTTCCTATATATGGAACTAGTAAAAGGTTTATTCCATGGTGAAAAGAGAAGAAATAAAAAACAACGTTACAGCCGTGGAGCCTTCTTCAGCTTTTCCTATATATGTCATAAAACTGATTTTGTTAATATTCTTATGTTGTGTTAAAAGCTAGTGTTATTTTTAAGAAGTAGATTTCTATTTCCATAACCAATTCTTTTTACAGTAACAGGAGCTATGGTACAATAAAACAAAGACTTCCTTAGACAAGTGATAAACTATCTTAATGGACTGTGTTATTTGTCCTGGCCATGCTCACAATGTATTCTCACATTAATCAACAACTGAGTGCTTTACACTACCAAGCCCCTTACAAATGAGCATTCAAAGTGAGCTCTTGGAGTCACTACTTGTATTCAAAATGAGAAAAATGGATGAATTATGGTGCAGAAAATTTTATCCGTCACATACTAGACACAGACTTCTTCCTAATAACAATGAAGCTTTTTGGAGGCTTAACTGTCCTTTTTCTTCATTATTGTTTTCCTTCAGAATGAAAGCTTTTTTCCCTTAATGTTACTGATTGACCAGTAATTTGGAATGTGCCAGGACTGCAGGCTCGACTTCCCCCTCCTTGTTTTCCTTTTATTGTTACATTGATGGTTCCATGGTGTTTCAGTGCCTGGGTGTGACAGTACACAGACTGGGGGAGGGAAATGCTCACAGTCATTTGAAACCCAACACTCAGTGCACACATATGAGATCATAAGGGAATGACATAGTGACTTGGTGCTCCCCTGTGATTTACAAGTCCCCTTGACATTTGAGTCCTACACACAGCTAAAATCTATACATGACGCCCTTCTATGTTCTGTGGACACTCACGTCTGTTTTGATGCTGTTAAGAGGCTGTGGAACTACAAGAAAACTTTTACAAAGTTTTCATAATTTGACGTGCCCTACCCATAGACATACCCTAACTTTTACAAAGAAATGTACAAAAAGACATTTACAAAAAGAAATGTTGGTCATTTCTTTTTGACATCATTACAATCACAAAATAAGAGATTTTTTTAAAGATTTTAAGTATTGCTCGATTTTTTAATTCAACGTAATAATGTTATTTTGCACAATTACCTGAACAATCATAAATAACAGGTTTGCTTTTTGTATCCATCCTACATTTTGTCAATTACAAAATGAACAGCACCTTCAAAGTATTACCTCCATCTTTTCCTAACTCCATTGCATTGAATTTGTTAATTTTAATCACTTAAGAAGCAAAATTATTGTTTTGTATTGTAATCACAGATTGTTTCATCTTTTTTGTTGTTGTTGTTCTCTGCTGCTTTGGAAACTAAAAGGAAAAAAAATAAGCTGTTAGTTTTTACTTTATAAATATTGTTAGTGTATCTGCTTGTGTGATATGTGAGTACATGAATACAAATTCAAGTTAAGGATGTAGCCCCAGAATTATGTAGGAAAATGACTGACGTACAGTACAGTAGGTTATACTGTAGGTCTTAGTCCTACTTTGTAGGACGTGTGCTCTTGGGAACCTAACTGCAGGTACCGAAATTCTAGGCTGCTCTGATGTAATACATATGGCATGTAGGCTGCGCTAGCCTCCCAGGTGCCTCCTAAACTGGTGCTCTGTGTCCCAGGCAGAGGACTCCCGAGACTCCATGGCCATGGCCCTCTACTCCCAGTGCTTCTCCTGGATCATCATGAAGATCAACCACAAAATCAAAGGGAAGGACGACTTCAAGTCCATAGGGATCCTGGATATCTTTGGATTTGAGAACTTTGAGGTATCTTTTCTCGGCTGTAGGTGCTGTATGTGCCTGGATTGGCAATTCTTTACCTTTGCACTGGTGTGATGCTTACTTGTCACACTGAAACAATTGTGGAGATCGGGTCCAAAACTACTGAACTCAAGTATAAGTGGCAAGAATGTCATAAGGGAAGTTCATGTCAGTGGGTGGGACTTTGTATTAATTTATGCTTATTCTGTACTGCTGTACAGTTTACACAGAATGGTATTTTTTCCCATTTTTCCAATTGGTAAAATATAGGGTATCCTTTAAGTTGGGATACCCCTGTCTTTTTGTTCTTACCATTATGCACAGACTAACCTCACAAATGTGAAACAATGATGATAATTTAGCATCTGATTTTCATATCACATGAAGAACTTTAATAAAATAAGAACGTTTTGAAGCTTTGCCATTTTTTTGACAAAGGTAAAGTAAGATCCTTAACAAGTTTGAACTGACAAAGCAAAATTATTTTCTGGATAGATTCTCATTTAGTTTGCAGTTGTTGTTTTTTTAATTACTGACATATGTGTCTTTATCTGCCTCCACAGGTTAACCGATTTGAACAGTTCAGCATCAACTATGCCAATGAGAAACTGCAGGAGTATTTTAACAAGCACATCTTCTCCTTGGAGCAGCTGGAGTACAACAGGTGAAGATAATTAAATAACAGACTTTCTTATCATTCTCTGAATTTGGGGCTCAAATCAAGATGGATTTTTTTCTTCTGCGATAATTACAGAACTACTGAGTATTACAAACTAAATTACCAGAATATTGCCTTCATTTTACACATTTATTGATTGTATTATCTAAAGTAATTATTATTTTTTTCATCTCATTAACATGGGAGTCAATTGAAATCACATGACATGCCTCTCATTCTTTCCATCCATCCATCCATCCAGTTTTAACAGCTTTATCCAATACAGGGTTGTGGGAGAGCCGGGGCCTATCCCAGCAAGCAAAGGGCACAGTGCAAGAAACACCCTGGATGGAATGCCAGTCCATCACAGGGCACACACAGACAGAAGCACTCATGCACTCACACCAGGGTCAGCATTCCCAGAAGCCAATTAATCAACTAGTCTTTGGACTTCCGGAGGAAACTGGAGCACCTGCAAAAAACCCATGTGAACACAGGGAGAACATACAAACTCCACACAGACAGAAACTCAGGTCCGTAATTGAACCCAGGGCTCCAGAGCTGCAAGGCAGCAATGCTTAATATTGGGCCAATATCCATAAAAATACATTGCATAGACTAGTTTTCAAATTGCAAAATGATTTCCATTGTGATATTTTTAATTATGCTATATGCATCTTGTTTAAAAAAAAACATTAATTAAATTGAGTAAGTGTCCTCATGGATATTGTTTATTGTAGTAGAAGCTAACAGCAATCTAGAATGTTGTATAAATTTAAAAAAAACACAAAGTTCATTGGCCTGAATTGTGGACATGCAGTAAGTCGGGTAAAGTTCTTAGTCCTACACAAAACACAAACTTGTGTTTGATAGCAGTGCTTTACAACCAGAAAATGGTTTTATTCACTGATTTTTTTAAAGCTGTTTGATTACTCTAGTATAGACTTGCTATGATCTTCATTGCACTTTGCATATGGGCCAAAATAATTGCTGGCATACAACTAAAAGAAAGGTTTGCTGATGTGTGTCTGCATAAAATAAAAAGATGGCCGGATGCAAATCTTCATTTTGTAGGGACAAAAGAAAGGTTGCAAATGAGAGAGGCCATTTGGCCCATATTGCCCAAATATATATTTAATTGATCCAAAGGTTTCATACTTTTGTTTCTTGAAAGAAACCAAAGTATTGGATTCAACAATATAGCTGAGTAGCTTGTTCGATTCTCCCTTAAGTCTGCAGATCCGCTAAGCATTGCATTGCATGTGACTTAATAACTTCCATGTAGACTAATTCTATTGTAATTCATCGTTCTTTATATTTTGTTTCCGCTGTTTTGAACATTTGAGAGACAAAACGACTCACATTTCAGTTTAAGCGGCTAATTTCCAAAGATCTGAAGCAATGGCATTGTGATCAATAAAGCAGATAATTTGTTAAGTAATTTAGAGATAATATAAGGGAATCTCTGATTATTTTGCAGTTCTCAGGAGCCCTCAAAGAGTTTACATAATTCAGCACATTACTTGCTTGATTCAGCAATAACTCACAGCTTTAGAAAAACTAACTGGATTTGAGTTACCCAGGACCAGGGTTTCAGACCCTATTCTATAGCAGTATGCAAGATATAAAACAAACAATACATTCAATCATTTCTTGTAAACATAACAACTGAGGCCATTTGGATTGGGTTACATAGTTGTAGGCGCTCAGCCTTCATGTGTTGGAAGCAGAGAACAACGCTACTACCTGGAGAGATTGACAGCTCCTGCAGGCACTGAACTACACAACTTTAGAAATGTGACCTTAAGTTAACCACATTCTAACCCAAGTGAATTAATAAAACACTAGAGGAGAAGTAACCACAGATCATGTTCAAATCTTGTATACCATGTTGTGTAATAATATTTATTAACTTCTCAATAACTACAATCAGTATAGACATACCCTAACGTTAACCTGACCTTAACCAATCAGACAGATGTCCTCACAGACCGTATGCAGTGCATAGCATTTACATAGCATGTGAGCTAAAAATAAGTAGTATTTTATCAAATTAAAAAATGTGTGTATGAAAACAGTAATAAGATTTGCCAGTGCTAGCATGTGTGTATACTGTATATAAATTAATTAATTTTATAAATTTGTCTTCACATGTAGAGATAGTGTAAGTTCCCACACACTAGGCTTGACTTTAAGAGCTCTTTGTTTCCACAGTTTGCGTACAGTTAATGCTGTAGTTGTCGAGGGTTGTATGTAGAGACAGATGTTTGAACGAGTCATTTATTTAAAGACAGATGATTTTTTGTATTTTAAAATTTGATTGCTAAAGTGGCTAGTGGGCTGGTCACATGCCATTGAATCACATGAATACACAAACAAGATGGCTATTGTGTCTCTGCACTAGGCAGCCCAAACCACTGAACCAGAGAATCTGATCAAACCTATCTGCCTGTTCAGGGCCAGGAGATTCAAGCATGAAACTGAGTTTGGTATGTGAATATGTATTGTGAACCAGCTGTGTTCAAACTTCTGGGTCTTTGAATGTCTCAGGACTGCCCCTTCAAACATATTAAATATATTCATCAGGTTTCTCTGTCCTGTCTTTTTTTTTTAGCTTCTGTGTCATTTTATTTTTACTGTGTACATTGCTGCTGCTCCAAAATAAAGCATTTTCTTATATTAATTAATTATTTTTATATAATTAATGTCCAAGGTCAACAATGTGCAAAAGTGATATGCTACCTAAAACTAAATAAAGTAATCAAATGTTAGTGTACTGGATCTACCACTTAGGTACAATACATTAATATTAGAAACTCTGTGACTGGCAGCAATAACACAGTCAATGTGATATTGTTTTTTTTTTTGTAAGAGGCCTTTGCGTCTGTGATGCAGATGAAAGTTATTAGAGTCCTTCTGGTTGTCAGCTCTTGTGTCTTATTCTTATACAGGGAAGGAATCCACTGGGAGGCCATTGACTGGATGGATAATGCAGAGTGCCTTGATCTCATTGAAAAGGTAGTGACCTTTACTAGAGCTTAAGTTCCATTTAAACATAGAACCTTGAGTTGTCTAACTGCTAGGGGGTGTTCTGAGTCAAGGATGAGTCCTAATATATAGTTCCCATTTATATGGCAGATGTCGCCAGTCTTCAGTCTGAATCTGGACTATCTAATTAGTGGGTTCTATCCAAGATTCTTTAAAAAGCATTGGAAGTTGAGGGGTTTGTTGCCAACACGAAACCCCAGTGAGCTTGTAGTGTTGATCAGCACCACTCCTTCACTGTAGGCCTTGAGGCTTGACTAATGGTTAGAATCTCTGGCAGAGAAACAGCCTGCATAGTCACAGTAAGTAGTAAAATTAACTTAATTAAAGGTAGTCCTAATTTAGGGGCTTTAAAAATAATAGGCGATTCAAACAATACATCATAAAGAAACAAGAACAAAAAGGAACCTTGCCTTTCTACTTTAGCTTTTGCACTGTAAAATGAGATGAGCTCTTAAGTTCAGTTAAAACTAACTTTTCAGAATAGTTGCCAGTAGCTATGTTACCCTGCAGTTCAACTGGCAACCCACTGAAGCTAAGCGGGTGTGAGCCTGGTCAGTAACTGGATGGGAGACCTCCTGGGAAAGCTAGGGTTCCTGCTGGGGGAGGGGGTACTGGGACCAATAGGGTGCACTCACCTTGTGGTCTCTGTGGGTCTTAATGCCCCAGTATAGTGACGGGGACACTATAGTGTCAAAAAAGGTGCCGTCCTTCGGATGAGACATAAAACCAAGGTCCTATCCCTCCGTGGTCATTAAAAATCCCAGTGCATTTTTCAATAAGAGTAGGGGTGTTGCTGCAGTGTCCTGGTAAAACTTTGTCCTGGCCTTTACTAATCGGGGCCTCCTAATAATCCCCATCTATGAACTAGCATCATTACTCCTCTCAATTTATAGCCGATAAGTAGTGAGCTTGGCAGGTGCTACATATCAGTGGTGGTGGGTGTCCCCATTACCTGTAAAGTTTTAAATTCAGTGTCCAGAAAAGCACTTCATAAGATAAATGTATTATTTAATTAATTGGATTGGGTATAAATAGTGATGTGAATGTTTCACATCACTTACAAAGGCTTAGAACAGAAAGGCTTAGAAAATGAGTGAGGCCTAACTGGGATATGTCTTTTTTATATGAAAATGGGAAACATTTAATAAATAGGGCACAACAATAGTACTTTATTCATGGATTAATATTTTAAATCATAATTTGCATGTACCCTACACCTTTTCACCACATTAGGCTATATATATTTTCTTCAAAATGCAGAATTTCCTTAAAATCAGGGTAATCATTTACAGTATATCTTTGATATAACAAGGCCTAGGAATTAATATAACTAAATAAAGTCAGGTTAATTGCTTTTGTCTTTCTCGGTCAAACTCTTGCTTCTTTGGAATTAACTTTTTACCCAGATTTAAAGTGAGATGAGACTGTTTTAAGAAGCTTGGGACTTCTAAGTAAAGAATCCTAAAGGGAGGTAACATGAAACAGGCAAGAATGTAATTTTAGTGCACCAAAAGAAAATAATGGTGTCCAAGTCAATTTGCTGTGATACCTTTGCATTGGCTTCTTAAACCTGTGTACCTTTCTCTCTTCCCAATAGAAACTGGGTATGCTGGCCCTGATAAACGAGGAGAGCAGATTCCCCAAAGGCACAGACTACACATTACTGGAGAAGCTCCACAGTCGGCATGCTGTAAGTAGGATCAAAATACTGATGCAGTATTTCAGTTTGTAGAGCTTGACAGGGTTTGTTTCAGAAGATGTTGAGTTACATCAGATTAAACTCCTTTTCATTTTCTGTTACAGCACAGGTTTTTGACTGGTAGCTAACCCTACCAATTAGAAAGGCCATTGTCCATTTTTTAAAAATTTTGGACAACAGTTTAATGACAAAAAAATGGCTGGTGATCTATCATATGCGTGCATACAAAGCTATTGTGAAGTGCCCATGGATATTCACTCACAAGCATGCAGTGCAGAAATTTGATCTCAGAAGCTATAGCTCTTGGATAATCTGTATCAAAGCCATGGCTTGAGAACACCTGTGTTCAGGGCCTTTTATAGATGACAAAGAAGAGAAGACCCAGCTGAATTTGTTTCGCTCAATATTACAAATCAACTGGGTTAAAATCCCATCATGTCAAGAATATTAACATGACATATTGTTGTTGGCTAATGTCTCTGTTTCCACAGATTAACCCTTACTACGTCAAACCCAGGGTGGCAGATCACCAGTTTGGTATCAAGCACTATGCTGGAGAGGTAAATAACTATATCAAACTATGGCTCAGCAAGACTTAATACTGTACATGTGTCCACAAATAAATCTAATGTCCAAGTATAGTGATGGGGACACTATACTGTAAAAAGGCACCATTCTTTGATTGAGATGCAAAACTGAGGTCCTGACTCTCTGTGGTCATTATCCCAGAGCGTTTCTCGGAAAGAGTAGGGGTGTTACCCTGGCGTCCTGGCCAAATTTCCCCCTAGCCTGGGGGAACCTGTAAAGTGCTTTGAGTGGAGTGTCCGGAAAAACTCTATATAACTATAAGAAGTAGTTGTTGTTGTTGTTATTATTATTCTTATTATTATTCAACTATTGACCCCTCCCCTTTTAAAATATTACCTGTTACACTATACATAAGGAGAAAACAGAAAGTAAATCTTTATGGTTTTTCTCTATACCCTATGTATGCCAGGGCTGAGAAACTCCAGAAGGTCTGAGAACCTCAGATATGGTGCATGCCAGCACAGAATTCAGCAACAAGGTTTCACAGTAACTGATAGGGGGCAATGCTGCCAGAAGTGGTTCATCTTTCAGTAATTAGAAAGCTAGGATTCTAAAGGGATGAGTTGCTTCTGAGAACAATGAGTGAAAACAGCTGGGAGTCCTGCCAAAAGCTGAGCCCAACACAATTACATGCTGTAGCCAGCCTCTGATTCTGGCGTCTGCCGCTGAATGAAACAGGAAAGACTCTGGAATGAAAAGGTCACCGTAGTGGGCAGTGTGACAGCAGGAGAAACTGGACCTCCTTACTTTATAGAGCAGAAAGTTCATTTTGTGAAGATGCCCTTTAGGAGATGGCACCCACTGAATGTCTGTATAGTTTGGTAGCTTTGAAGCAGCATGCCTTGCACTTTCACTTATGATAATTATTTGGCTCAAGGATTTTTTTAGGCTGCTGTTTCTTTGTGCTTTGCGAAAAGAAAGCACCTTTGTGCTAAACTACTCTCTAAAGCATGTTCATACCTAAAGAGAGAGTTTGGTGGAGAGTTTATAGGTAACTGCCAAAAAAAACAAAATGTTTTTTTAAAACAAATCTGGGGCAGATTTATTACTGATGTGTTACTAAACGCATGTAAAAATGTGCATTTATGGGTTGTTCCAGTTTATTATTTACTGTATATTTTGTATATAAATTGTCCTCCAGGTTACACATTTTTATAAAATCATAGTCGATTATTTGGAAATTATGACAAGAAGTGGAAGTATTTAAGAGGATACTGACAGTTGCCCTGTTGCACAGAACAATTATTTTTTTATTGTATTGGTGTAGTGGTTAGCATAGCTGCCTTGCATCACTTGGTTCCTGGGTTTGGTTCCTGGGGTGCTGTCTGTGTGGAGTATGTATTTTCTCCCATGTTTGCCTCAGTTTTTTCCCACAGTCCAAAGACATACTGGTAGGTTAATTGGTTTCTGGGAAAATTGTACTGACGTCCTGTCTGTATCCTGACTTGCGCCCAGCTCTGGCTCCCCCGTGAATCTTTACTGGACTAAGTAGTTAGAAAATGGATGGATGGATTTTTAAATAAAACTTGAATGCTCAGACTACTTATTTTATGATGTGTGAGAAGTTAAATGTTAAATTTAAAAAGGTTGCAGAATGTTTTCACATCCCTTTGTCTATACATAGTGAGTGCACCTTTGGCAGCAAAAAATGTTTTTGTAAAGATTGGTACCAACATCGAACTATAATGTAGTGTAACTTTTCCACTTTGGAAATTTGCTCAAGCTCTGTCAGCTTGGTTGGGAATTATTGATAGACAGCAGTTCTCAAGTCTTGACACAGATTTCACAGAGCCAGACTGGGATATTCACTTTCTTCTTGTTATACCACTCCAGTATAGCTTTTTCTTGTACTTTGGGTTATTTCTTCTACTGACTGTTGAAATGTTTCAATTTGTCTTGTCTCAGCAGAAAACATTGTGCTTCATGTTTGATGTATTGCTTAAATGCTTTGTTCCAAACTCTCTGTGGGATTTACTGCAAGATAGTGTTTTCTTCAGCATTGGCTTTAGATCTGGTACAATTATACCTTGCCGTTGGAGTTTTGTTTGGCTTTTAATCAGCCATCAGAACTAATTTTCAAGTCCCAGGAAATTGAAGCCAATATTTCTTTCCTGCTGATGGTTGAAGAACCACAGGTGCTCTTAAGTGTGTGGACTTATGCGTCATCACAGGGTCCTTGTCACCTGCCTGGACCTTAATAAACCTTTGAGGAAATAGGCTTTCAACTAGAACATGAAATAAATTTCTGTGATGAAATGTCTCTGTGTAGAAAAATGCAATGCTTATAATACACACCTACAAATAAACCAGTTGTTGCTAAAGCTGCTGTGTGGATAAATGTAAGTGTTTTAAGTCATCACTGGAGAGGTGAAAAGAGTCCAATGCTATATATATGTCTGTGTGGCAGCACATTTAAACAGGTGACTGAATTAGCACAACAGTCTACCACCCAGTTGGCAGGCTCTATATAACATAACAGCATGAAACTAAAAGGTGGTTAGATCGTGTGCATTCCTTTTTTATCCTCTACTATGAAAACACCCCAGTCACAATAGGACACTCACTGAAAAGGTTTTGAGTGAATTTGCTCTGTGGAGTAGAGGGGGGTTTCAGCCAGTTATCTCTCTTTCCATTAGGCAGCTGATAAAGTGTGATAATTGATGTGCTTTGCCTCTGGTCCTGCCAGGTCCTGTATGACGTGCGAGGGATTTTGGAGAAAAATAGGGACACATTCAGAGATGATATCTTGAACATGCTGAAAGACAGCAGGTGAGCCATAAAAATAGACAAACATTCATTTCAAAATATAGAACTCGCTGGAAAACGTAGGATATATTAGGAAAATGTTCACAGTGTTTTTCAATATTTTAGTTGTTTTTTTCATACCTTACTGTATGCGTTCTCTGATTCTTGGCTGATTGTTTTTAGTTTTAATATTCTTAAATACTACAACATAGTTAAAGGTAAACAGTTACTGAAGAGATAGTGGTAGGCGCCATGTCAAGAAATAAGAGGTATGTCTGTGTTGCATACTTCACTGACATACTTCAGAGAAAGGGTAGCCAATATGATTTTTCCAATACGTAGAAGATGACATAAGAAAATATAGTAGAAATAGAAAATAAGGGTCATATAAACAGTTCCTCTAAATGTATAACGTATGAAAACAGTACTTATTTTAACCCTTTCAGAGAAACTGTAAAATAAACCTTCAAACCAAATTACAGTAGCACTCACCTTTTAATCTTCTAGATAGATTTTTATGATTAATAAAATCACATATTCACCTTTTTATTCTTCAGATTTTATCATTTTTTCTGTGTCTCAGTTGACTTATTTTTCCATAACATACAAACTGTAAGGTACAAACCTTTAAATGGTTAATTGGGAGCAGAGTTAATGATCTTTTGTGTTGATTGTATATACAGTGTGGTTAGTATGTGTTGCATGTATGGTACCGAGTTATAAAGTAAACTTGCTCAATGCATTGCAATGATAAATCTCATTGTTTATGCTAACAAAAAGCCTGTGTTATAACCTTACCAAATACAAGCCTGTTGTCTTGGGTTTTTTGTTTCAGGCTGGATTTCATTTACGACCTATTTGAGCGAGTAGCCAGCAGGAATAGTGAGGAGACACTGAAGATGGGCACTGCCAGGCGTAAACCCACTGTCAGCTCCCAGTTCAGGGTAAGAGAAAGACAAAGTGTGTCAAGGGGGGATGGGGGTGTTGGGCTTGGGATGCATCGTTTGAATAGATGTAGTGACTCTGAAGTGGTCAGAACAAACCAAAGTAAACCAAGGTGCACCACAGCTGTGTTGTAGCTGGTGGGTAGTAATTGGCTGAGCACTGTGAAAGTGTCAGAGTGAACTGTCTTCCCAGAATCAGACAGAATCTTTGACAGAAATGCCAGGAAGGGCCCACATTATTGTGTAGACCAAAATTGCTGAGATGTGACATATGAAAGTGTTGGCGCCATTCACAGTACAGTGAAAGGCCCCAAATAAGCAGGTGTCTAAATGTGGTTACCTGTTTACTTCTGTGTGATCTCTTCTTTGGATGTATATATTTTAAATATTACATCTGTGGAATACAAGGGGTTGTTTTCAACAGAAACTCTTAAAACAAAAAAATCTGAACAATTTTCTATGAAATGATTATGCTGTAATGAGGGCTTTCCTTTGGCCTTTCTGTAAATATGTACAGTGAACCAATAGTTCACAAAAGAGGAAAAAAGGAATGCAATTTTAAACTCGGGAAAACTCATGCTGGAATGAGTCTGTGATGGTAGGATGCCTATAAGCTATAATATTTTCTCAAACTCCAAAGATTTGAAAAATACTGATTGTAAGTTCTAAATTGAAAGAATGGTATTTTTTTATTATTTATTTTATAAGGTAGAAATACAGCATAGTGACAGGTTCACTTAAAAGTGGCAATCTAAAAAGAAACTTGGCAAGGGATATAGCTTTGTTTCCTAGCTCAAGACTTATACTATGGGGATTACAGCAGCCCTGGGTGAATGTGTTTGACATTCTTCTCTCCTGTTCTGGTGCAGACTGGAGACATGCAGTCTGAAAATAAGAGGGCTTGGTGGATGGAGCCAAGTTCAAGGGTCCTTGCTGTCTAACAGAGTAAATCTCCTCTTGCTAAAGATAGCTGAGGTGTTAGACATTGGAGCTCATTAATTTGGAATGGTGCCATATTGGTGGTTAACATGACATGCTGCACATTTCAGAGTGTTTGTGTATGTTAGTGGTAAATCCATCTTTCAGTTAGCATTAGTAAGTTTCCCCAACAACACAAATTATTTAATGCCAAAAAGTTCTTTTTGGCAATGCTGTTTACACAGAACTGTAAGTGATGAGAAGTATGATGATTCATGAATGCTGTCCAAATTAAAACCTTGCTCTATGCTACTTTGTGCAACGTGCTGGTTTTATGTTGTTCTCTGTTTGGTAATGTTCCTAAGTGGAAGTATATCAACACAGCCTGAAAGGTTTTTAATTTTGTTGCTTGGAATTGTCTTTCTGCAGGACTCCCTTCACTCTTTAATGGCCACACTGAGTGCTTCCAATCCCTTCTTTGTTCGCTGCATCAAACCCAACATGGAGAAGGTAGGTAAAGCAAATATGCCCCCTGAAAATACTGTCTGTGGATGTTTTGGGACTTTATTGCAGGCCTTTCATTCTGCACTACATGTGTTGGAGGTATGATATGAAAGTTTTCTAAAAAAAATCCCAGAGAAGTCTACATTGATATTTGCTTTAGTCAGAGTGTTTCTGAGAAAGGGCAGTCTTTGGCAAGCAGAAATAAAAGTCAGCAGTCAGGAATGGGAAAAGGGGATACATGGCTGTTGGTTGAAACCATTTCCTTGTTAAATGAAATCCTATAGGATTTGTATAAGGTAAATGCTTAATTAATGCAATTGTTAACAGTCTAGCAATACCATCTTTCTTGGAGTTTTGTAAGTTAGATCTTTATTTACTGAAATTTATACATTTTCAGAGACACGCTTTTGCACTTGATGAGTGTAGGCAAGAGAAAACAGGAAAACTGAGCAGAAATCTCCCCAGACTGCCTTCTAATTTGCTTCATTAGACAGTCACTTCAGCTCTGTTGTACACTCTCTTCTAGATTTCAGCAGATGTAATGTAAGAAATAATGAAAGAATAAAAATAGGACAGCTAAATATTAAGTGCTTGGATTTTTATTCCAAGAGAATGATACAATTCGAAACAGGACAGAGTGTTCCAGACGCTGCCTTGGTCTATGAAAAGAGCCCCTTTGTGTTTCTCAAATACAGAACAACGGAGCCTGGCTGACAGCACATTCTTTCAGCCCAAAGCTTCTACAAGAAGCCAAAGGTCACTGTTAGAGGACCGCCACTCATTCCAGCTGCCATGAGCCCCCTTATTGACCCCGTAACCTGTGCTACTGCAGCAGTACTTTCATGGTTCACAAGTCCGAAGGCAGAAAGAACAGCCATTGATTTAAAGACTACAGCACTTTTTCCATTGTCATCTGGCTATGCACCTCACATTGAAATACACTGCAGCCTCTGTGTAAAGCAATTTGTCTACTGGTGCATTGTCAAACCTGCTATAATGTAACTCAGTTACAGTATACACACAATTTTTTTTTGCCCTTGCCAACTTTTAAAACTTTGTCAGGATTAAAAGAGTTCGCCCCCCCCCCCCCCCCCCACCACCCCCCCCCCCCCCCCAAAGACAGGAAAAATAAGTTAACACTTCTAGACAAAGAATATAAAACTGATTTATTTTACTTGCATATCTTATACAAAATTTAACAGAACTAAAAACTAAAAAACTATACTTCTTGATTATGCCTAATGTGTTTTAATTTCTCTGATATGTTTAATATTGTACACAGTGTTTAATGAATATAAACTTAATGAATATGTATATAAACTTCAAGGTTTATAAGAACGACAAACAATTGTTCCAGTAAGGATGCTTGGCAGGGGTGAACAGAACCTCTAATGACCACTGCTGGATTGTGGCTAACAGAACAGTACCATTGTTCCTTGTCTGCTTACAACTCTTTAAATCAAAACCTGATTCTGTTTCTGAACCCAGGTACAACTTTAGGCCCTTTTTCCATGTTATAAACCCCGCATTATGTGATGATCCCAAGTTATAAAGATTGTCCTCATGTACCACCTCCTTGCTGTGACCTAGAAAACAGTAGTTTACAGTGGAAAGGGGCTCAGTGCAAAGGTGAACAGTGTGAAGTGGGCTTCTCTAGTTGGTGGAGGAATTCTGAGCCGTGATATAGGGATCAGAAAACGGGTGATAGGAGGACCAAGCCTTTGTGATTCATGGCAGCTGTATAGTGATCATTACAAGGGCTTCTTATGTAGTTCTGTGCCAGTGTTGGGGAAGGCTCTTATGCTAAAGATGTCATCCAACAGGTGCCACTATCAGAGATCTCATGATATGGCATTAATACTGAAGGAGTCTGAAGCAAAACTGTCTGATCCCAGAGTTTGATAACTCCAAGTTAGTGATCAACTTTGCAAGACAGCAGACATTATTATTATTATTATTATTGAATGCAATCGATAATATGATCACACAATGTTTCCTAGAAAACATTTGTAAGTTACAACAGTATTTACATAATTGTTTTTGCCAAAAATGTCCCAGCAAAAAGATGAAGTGGATATATAGTGAAGAAAGAACAATCATACAACTTTTTTTATTACAAAACATCAGGATTCTCTATTGATCTTCTTCCTTGCCAAGGATATCAGCGTGGCAAACTTCAGATTTCAGTATCTCTGATGATGACTTGCCTCTTAAGTGGCAAGCTTCTGTGGGAGTGGGAGCTTCTGACTGTGTATAGTATTTCACCTGTCTGCCTTGTTTTCATTGAGTACAAGTTGAAAACATTGTGTACGAGTAAAAAAAAACAGGAAATTGTAATGCAGAGAAATATTGATGGGGAGACAGATTAAACTAGAGAGAGCTATGACAAGAAATTATGTGCTTACATTTTACTTTAAATTTTGTTATGTCTTCCCTAATGTTACCGATGCAACTGTAGTATCAATTGTATTCAGATCCTTAGTTAGCACTGAAGTGAAAGTGAAAGAAAGCTCTGTAATTTTAGGGAGAAGATTGATATTAAATCCCCTAATTGCCTAGCAGTGAAGGAAATAGGCCAAACCAATGGTCATTGTTGGGACTTACACTTGGTTTCATTGCCTGTCTAAATAAAAGAATTAAGTCACATGGCTTTTGTCTTTATATTTTCAGTGCTGAAAAAATGGAGTCAGATACAGAAATCAAATTGTCTTGGGCAATGCTGTGTATAATCCTCAATTCTAAACCAGAGTCACAGAAATGGCATTGTATCTTTTCTGTGGACATTCCACCCATGACTTTTCTCCTTCTGTTTTTAATCAGTTACATCCAGAGATCAGATAAACCATATTCCCTTTTGTCTTGGCATTTGCTCTGCATGAACTTGTAGACTTGCAAAATGTAAATGTTAAAGTGCAAACGTCATCCCACTAGAGAATATGCTTTAGCAATTCCGTTTGTTAATGAAATAACTGCAGACTGAGAGACCATTATTTCCCCTGAAATTTAGAATCTAATAAAGTGTGTTCCCAATCCTATGTCTGAAAGGTACTAAATATTAATAAAAGGTAATAAATATTGTCCGTGTACTTGACATCTGTTTGGTTGTTTCTCTCAACAGACTCCCAATAAATTCAACCCAGAAGTAGTTCTGAACCAACTGCGCTATTCTGGTATGCTGGAAACTGTGAAGATTCGGCGAGCAGGATTTCCTGTTCGCAGGCAGTTCAAGGATTTCTACAGCAGGTAGAAAAATGGCCTATGAATCTGATATATCTGCCATATAGTGTATCCAAAAATACTGGGTCAAAACCGTTTACTTTTCAGTCAAGGTATTTATATTCATGCTATTGAGATCAATGATACATAAAAAATAATATGCTGTATGTTTTGGAAAAATCCATCCATGCACATACTGTATTCGATCACATGGAATTAAAACATATTTTGCATTCAACCAAGTTATTTCAAGTCACTTGAAACTTCAAGTGATCAGAAGTACTGGGACACATTCACTTTAAGTTTATTTCAGTGTAAAAGTCTAAATTTGGTTGCATAGGTAATAGCTAAATGACATCTATGATCGTTTGTGCTCATCAAACTCTTTGTATAATCCTTTGCAATTTGCTCCTTTTGCTGTTGTCACCTTGAGGTTTTACCTGTTCTTGGGTTTTTTTCAGTTCTTTCTTAAGCTTGTAAAATGTGTGGTCAATTGGATTTAAATATGGGGATTGACTTGGCTAGTTTAAGACTTTACAAAAGTTTGATTTTTTTTCTTATGAACCCTTTGATTCAGTGGAGTTTCTGCGTTTTTATATTCCATTGTTGAAAGTGGATTTGGGTCTTTAAGTAAGACCATCCAATTAATCCTTTTCACACTTGATTATCAAGACATAAGATACGGTTTTCAGAACAATTGCTTTTGTTAAAAGTGTCTGTTGGGTGAACACTGCATCCTCTTAAGAGTCTTTTGATTTGTTAACATTAAGTGCAGCAATTATAACAAACTCATGTTAATACAAAATACAATAGAAATAAGTATTGTAGAATTAATGCTTTCTGAGTGTTGAAAAAAGGCAGTTATATTGTTGTTTTGATATAACACATTCCTGTTTATTCATTTAAAATGTTTTAATTTCTCAGTAATCAAAGAATTATTGCAGTTATGCAAATACAAAACTCCATCTAACTCAGTGGAAAAGCCTCAGAAAAATCTCAGTTATTAAATTTGAAAACCTGACAAGTCATCAAGAGGGAAACCATACACGTATAAATATGGCAACAAATATCTATACTGAAGTTAATGATCCATATTGTTGTTTTCTTCTGGTTTAAACAAAAATGAGGAAGCTGATAAAACACTGAAGAAGCTGATGAAGCCATGTTTTAGATTTTTTTCTTCATATCTTCGTGATTAAATTACTACATGGCATTTTTGCCTTTTTTGTCTTTGCTTCAGATACAAAATGCTGCTGAAGGAAAAGAACGCTACTGGGGATGAGAAGTGCAAATGCTTGGACCTGTTAAACTCTCGTGATGTCACTAAAATGGAGTGGCAGCTGGGAAAGACAAAGGTATCCACGTCATTAATCGTTAAGAATATTACTACAGTAATGCGCTGCCTGTAGCCGTCATCTGCAAGGAAGCAGATCTGCAGTTTTTAGCCATAGACTATCATGTCCCTGTGTCCGTGTGTCATTTGTGATTTTGAAAAAAGTGAGTGCCTTTGTCTAGATTCACTCTATATAACACTAATCATCTCTAAGCACCATTTAATTGTGAATTAATACAAAAATAATACCCAATATTTCAGATGTTAATGTAAAAGCTATTTATTGTTTTTGTAAAACATATGTTTGTCTCAGTCTATATTACTGTACTTATCATCCTCAAATTCTGTCTGTTATGGTAAGAAACATAAATGACAAACATTATTCTTTCAGGGTATGCTGTAGTTTACCAAATACCCACTTAATGTGCTTTAACTTCATAGGAACTTCTTAAGGATTCACTTTTAAGAACCAGACTAAAACACCAGGGACCCTTTTTAGTTATTTATTGAACTGCATTTTGAAAACAAGTCTCATCCTACTTCCCAGAAGAGGCTGGTATTTTTCCAGCCAAGTTTGGAGAGTTCAGAGTGCCATAATAAGCCCACAGAAACAAGGCTCTATCGAGAAGTCATCAAAGGCCCTGGAGATTTTTGTGGTTTCTGCATTCTTGGCTCTCTTTATGCTGGTGACAAATTGAAGGTCTACAAGAGTAGAACACTGTGGGATTAAAATATATAAAATAAATGACAGCTGATAGTTCTTTTTTGTTGTTTTTAACTATATTATAGCTTTATTAATCTTTTTTTTTGCCTTGGTGGTTCAGACACAAATTAGTTTTGTCAACCAGCAAACACTTTTGATGTTATATACACTCTTACTTACTGAGTAATTAATGTTCCATTATATTGCTCAGTAACTAATACAATTGCAAAGATTTTTGTGCATTTGGCTGCAGGAGACAAATGTTTATTTTTTCTGCCTCCTGAATCATTCTTTGATTTTTTTAAAGTCTTCTTAGAACAAGAAGTATTTGACTTAAGTAGGAAAAATCAAAAACAAGTCTGTTTTCAGTTGAACACTGGGAGTAGACAGCTTAATTGCAACAAAATGATGGATATGGTATCTGATATAAAAACAGAACAATTAGTTTTCATCAAATGTACCAGATTTGCAATAAAAAGTTCAACGTGCTGAAATAATGAATGTAAAATGTAATTTTGTTGTGAAAATTATCCTAAAGTGTAGATTTTGACAAACATTTTGACCTCAAGGTCTTCATCAAGCTTCATCAAGATTAAGCAATAAACATCTAGGGCCGTTTGAGAATGCAGCTATAATAATTTTATTTGTCGTCAAAGGAATGTCATTCCTGAACATCATATGTATCTTTTGGTTAGTTTATTTATGTCATTTTCAAGAATCATTTGAAAGATGACCCAGTTTCATGTTAGTCAAAGGGCCCTTTTTGGAACTGATTATTTGATTACAATATTTAAGTCACTTTTAACACATAGCCAAGAGCTCCAGCAACACATCTGTTTGAAAACAATTCTGTGATCTGAGTTCTTAAGGTATTATAAGGTAAATGGAGGATGAGGAAATGTATTCCATTCACTCTGGAAGAATCTAATTTTTCCATTGTAACAAATTTGAAGGTTTGTAAAACAACAGGGGGACTGAAAATTCACAGAATGTTGTTTGAAAACAATGCAGAAGCAAGTGAATGCTGATGCCTTTAATTACCCTATGCAGAAAGCAATTTCTTCCTCTCAAAGTGTGCACTGCTATGAAACTAAGGTTTCTTTGTCCGTGGTGGTTAGCTTTCTTGTGACTCACTGCTAGGCAGCGACACCTTCCCACTTTCTACGGTTGTGCTGCTTCTCGATTATAATCAGTGAGATAACAACGCACTGTATGCTTCATGCTGTCTGTGAGCCTGAGTTCATAGTAAGTTACAACCGGAGTTTCCGTTTGGCATTTTATTTTTCATATGGCCCTCTCACGCAAAGCTCTTGATGAAATAGGGATCTAGGTGGCTGAGTCACATGAGTCTTTTCCTGTTTTGCTATGTTACTTTGGATCAGTGGCTTCATGGATTAAAGCTTCTTAATCCTGGGTTCGAACTTGGCTTTGTATATGGGGGGAAAAATACACAACCACATGGCTTGTCATGCTTGAAAATCTCCAGAGCAACCTCACCACTCCAGTACTGTAATGAAATGAACCCTGAACGTATAGAAAAAAAATAGAAAAGGTAGTCTCTTAATCTTCGCTGATTTTAGGCTGCAATTTTGTAAACAGGAATTGAATATCTTGCTGAGATTTTCCGAGTAGAAATTACTTGATTAATCAAGAAGAAAATGATAAGTGGAATGGTTTAGAAAATGTCTAAAAAAACAAATTGAGTGGACTCAATTCCACTCATTAAAACTCCCCCTGCTCTTGGTGCCTAATTGATTCCAGAATGCTGTTTTCTTTCTTCCCAATTGGTCTCAGTGAATCAGCAACTCCCACATAACTGTAGAGCCGACAATGTGGGTCATTATTATGTCCTGTTTGTCACAGGGCTGGTCTTCTATTGAAGCTAGTCAGTACTTTTTATGCACAATACAGTTTTTCTTCTTGCATATTTTTAACATAATTTAACCTTAATTCTCATTTGCATACATAAAAGACATTGATTGAGAATATGTTGAGATAAATATACTATTATGTAATATAATTTACTTTCTTTTCAGTTATTTGTACTCAATTCCATTGGATGTATTTCTGATTTTTGAAGGCACATTATGCACTCTGAATTATTACCTGCCAATAATAACTTTATTCTAAAATACAAGAAAAAGCTCCAAATGTAGTAAAGGTATCTTGTGTAATTTTCTTTTTTTCCAAAACTACAGAGCCTTTATAAAGAGTGAGATAAAAATGCAACGTTTTGACAATTTAAAGAAATTCTTAGAGGTGTTTTCCAAATTAAAAATGATCGCAGCTTTGGAATGGTTTCAGCCTTTTTTATATAAAAAAAAGAAATCTGTTGTTAGTAGTTTCATTGAACTTATTGGAGTTGCTTTCTGTTATGGCCTTAAAGGATAATATGCGGAGGCCTTGCATCTCAGCTTGAGCACACACACAAACACACAGAGCTGCTAAGGATATGCCTCACTGATTGTTCAGCAGTAAAATAGCTCCATTGTTCTACAGCGAGGTCAGAAGTGGACAACCTTCCCTGTGCTGCTCCCATTTGCTCTCAGTGTGTCATAGTTATAAAGTACTCAAGGTCATTTGCCTTAACCCCTTAACTCCCTCAGTAAACACACCAGAATGTGTTTACCTGCATTCGTGTTATTTAGCAACTTCAACATCCAACTTTAACTACCATTGGTAAGACCCACACTAATCAATCCCGATTAATTTTTTTTCTGAACTTTTCATTAGTTCATTCATTCATTAGCAGCCTGAATTTAAAATATCACAACAATATGAATGTAATCTGAAATTACCTACAGTTCATGTTTAAGATAATCAGTTTTCTTCTCTATCTCAATTATTTTGCCTAGTGGACTATTTGAAATGATGACTATATCATATATTGATATATATATATATATTGAGTCATATGACAGTGCTGGTTTCTGTCTGATATATATATATATTGAGTCATATGACAGTGCTGGTTTCTGTCTGATTGCCACCTAGATTGGATGCTTTTGCAAGGAATAATTGCGAGATGTCTGTGAGAACTGTTTCAACCACAGACTGGCTGTTACATCAACCTGCTCAGGCCAAAATCAATATCAAGTGAAATCAATAAGAATCAAGTAAATTATATTTCCAAATTATGGTAGATAATTGGGAGATGCTAAAAACATTTAAGTTTTTTCATTGAATTACATTAAAGTAAATACAAGGGTATCACACCATTGCAGGAAACAATCTCTGGACTTCTAACTTCCTAATATATATATAATAATAGTAGTTCAGGTGGATAGCTGCGTCAGCATGCGTAGGCTGCAAAGGAGCAAGTAATAGGTTTATTCCATGCTGAAAAGAGAAGAAAGAAAACTCAACGTTTTGGCTGTGGAGTCTTTTTTCTCCTTCCCTTACACCCGAAGAAGGCTCCACAGCCGAAATGTTGCATTTTCTTTCTTCTCTTTTCAGCATGGAATAAACCTATTACTTGTTCCTATATAAGATAGTTTGTACTGTTTGGTAAATAGAATGGATTTTTCACAAGCCTTGGTGAAATGGGAAGGACGTTACTGTCAATGGTCAGATTTCCCAAGAAATATCCTTGTGTTTTCCCTGCATGAAAAAGTCAACCCCTGCTACAAGCTGCCTATACAAAAGCTACAGTTTCTCATATATTGGCTTGTCAAAGTGTGCTAATGTGCATTGCATGAGTTTGTAGGTCTGCTATTAGAGCTTATCGAGCACACTTAATCTTGCTGCGTTTGGCATTGTTCTGGTAAAAGCATTATATAACAGGCAAAAATGAAGGAGAGTAGACATGAGGTGAACTGATCTCTTGATAAGTCAACATTGCCTCATCTGAATCAGGCAAGTACGCCCTTGGGCAAAAAGTTTTTATACTTTTGCAAATGTTGCTAAGCAGCACTGAAAATCAATGGAGCCCTCAGAATGAAAAAATACATGCTTTATACTCATGGTTGACATGGTACAGATTGTTTTACTAATGGACTGTAATCTAATATTCAGTAATCTGACTACTGTTTGTTGTGGTCCATGTAGAAGTGAAGGACAGAAGGTTGACAAAGAGTTTCAGTCCTTGGGGCTGTTTGTATGAAGGACAGGCTAGACAGCATTAACATATTTTATAGCTTAAAGTTAAATGACTGACTTCATCTGAATGCTTAAAATATCTGTCTACCTGTCCAAAGTAAAATGAAGGCTAAAAGTTGGCCAACATATAATGGTTTAACTGGTAAAAGGAAGACACAAGAGGGATCCTCACTCCTACTTTTTGTCTGCATTATACATGACATCTCAATTATTTTGTTGTATCAACTTTTGACTTATTTGGTCTGAATAATTACTGAGAGTTGCATACTTTTCAAGGCCACAGTGTCTTTGGGATTTCTTTACATTCTAACTACTGCTTGTATATCATAAAACTAATTATTTGCTTCAGTAAACAATTCAATGTATTCCCAGGTTAACACATTGGTCATTTAAATACAGTATAATAATAAAAACTAATCCAGTGATTGATTTGTCCTGTAATGTGTCTAGAACTACTTTCTACAATGACAAGGAATGTTCCAGTGCCAATGAAAAGGGTTAAAATCAGCCATAGAAAATGCTTTGTTGAGATTGAAGTGGATCTGGAATTTGTCCACTTTGCGTATGAGACTTGAGATTTTTTAAAGTAAATTATTTTACCAGTGAATAAAAGCAATCTGAGCTGGTTTTAGACCATCCAAAATGGAAAACTGCAGCTGTTTGATACATTGCAATCTATCCAGAAGACAGAAGATCATTAACCTGTCTCATTGAGCCATTCAATACTACAAAAATGATACTGTGAATAAAAGTATACCATTGAATACTTTGTACTATTTTGGTCATCAATATTGGAATCTGAGAATCGTTTCAGAGAAAAGAAACCTGATAAATTGCTGGCCTCAAATGAGAGGCAGCCACAAATCTAGCTCAGTTCATTGTTTTTCAGTAGCTGTATAATTCAAGGATCTCCACCTGTCCTTTCTTGAAGGAATCCAGGATTTGTCAGATTCAATAACATGGCTGGTCAGCTTGTTCCATACTCCCACAGCCCATAGTGTAAAGTGCCTCTGGTTCTCAGCTTTAAATGTACCTTCCCAAAACTTCCCCTTGTTTCCTCAGTTGTGTGCCTTACTGTGGAATCTGATGCCCCTTGTCAGTGCCTTTGGGCATTTTGGAAACTTGAATCAGGTCTCCTCAACATGAATCAGCATTCTCTGTTCAAGACAATTCAGTATTTTAGGCAGCCCCTCGTTTGTAACTGTTGTTATACCTTTTGAACAGGTTAACATATGGAAAAACATTAATAGCAGTGTTAAGGTCCTTTCCCAGACACTTATACTAATGTGGTTTAAATTCTTGGCTAGGTTGTAGACCAGATATCCTGAGTGAGTGTGTGTATCTGCGTTTGTATGGATTTGAGTGTGAAGTTTTTGGGGAGGGGTGAGGGGTGGTCTGTGTTTCCTTTGTTGAAACAATCTGTGTGTAATTATATCTGGGGTGATTGTGTGGAGAGGAAATTCAGTCCCAGGATTAGTATTTTGGATTGTGTGGGATGTGGGAAGGATGTGGAGAAGGAAACTTCCCAAGAATGGCTTTAGCACTGGTGCAGCTGTGTGCTTGTGATTGCAGTAACATCTGTTGCATCCTCACAGGGAACAACAGGTCCACAGTAGCTAAACAGATCTGTACCACCAATTCAATAATTCACTAGGACTCACTTGCCATTCTGGGTCAAAGTATACAGCCTATATATTAAAATGAGGGGACTTGACATAAAAATAATACAAAGCAGAAAATGGAGCATGCCCAAACATGCCCAAACTCCATACCTGGCAGTTTGTGCTTGTGTGTCACTCAGAACTTGACAGTAACAGACAGTATCCCATGGGTGTAGGGTTACAGTGGGAGGAGATTGTGGTGGTGTTCATTTAATATGCTAAGGATTTGTTCTAAAGTGGAATCTTGTTTTTAAAAACGAATACTGAAACAGCGATTGATATCCACAAAAACATGGTTAATGCTCAGATTTGTGTTTATTTTTAAAAATAATAGTGAAAGATTTTGTGGTCCTGTTAAATACCCAGGAATTTGGTGGTGTTAGTAACTTATGTAGCCATGAAAAACCTGTATGACTTTCTTTCCATCTACCATGTTTTCCCTGGCTTGTTTCCTGATCTATGCTTTGATGCAAAATGTCTCAGAGTCTTATTTTGCAGGTTAAAGCTGAGCCCTGTGTTTCAAGCGAACTGTCAGTGTGTACAGACAATATTCTATTTATGAAACCTTAAATCTTAAAACTTCTTCTTAGAAATTCTTATAAAATATGGAGGACATCTTGTATTTTTAGTTTTCTGTTATATAACGGATTGCTGACAGCAACCAAAGCAATCATCATTGTTCACATTTTGCAGAAGACAAATCTAATCTGAAATTCTGTTAATATAAAGTGAATATAACCCCCACAGACTCTCTACGGTAGGCTCGGAAATTGTAATTGCTGACCCTTGGAAGAATGCATCAGGAAGCAAAATATTGTGATTGTTCACTAGCCTGTGCACACAATAAATTTGTATCTTAGAAAATGGATTAGCCTCATTAAAAATATAGGTCAGCACTCAACTAAGTTTTTTGCAACATTTAAGGTGGTACAATAGGTAATATTAATTTCAATTTAAATTAGTATGAGATTACCCTTAGGAACCTGTTTATAATCCTACAATATTCAAAAAATGTCCACATGTTTTTTTTACTTGTACTTTTTTACAATTGACTTCTGTGGCAGCTAAACCTAAGACGTAAAATATCAATAAAATCAAGACTAAAATGTACAGCGCTTAGGTTGATAGCGATGAATTGGTTTTAAGGCCAAATAACTCCAAGCTCCCTTTTTATTTATACTGCAGGGGGCTTTATTTCCTATTGCTACCATAGGATAGGAAGGGGTTAAGTAGTGTGTGTCTATAACCCGGTTTCTTTCTGCCTTTACAAGAGCAAGGAGAGGTGTGGCCTTAGCTTTGGACTACAGCCATTAACAACTTTACCTCCCCCCTTCTCCCTTCTCTATCAAACTGTCCCTCCCTGAGCACGTCAGTACAAGAGGGGAGGCCGTAGCAGCAGCAGGACTACTTTTCCACGCAGCCTGTGTTCAGTGCAATGACAAGCTGTCATAGCACGCATTTGACTCTGTGACTTTGGGGGATAATTTCTACCACATCCAGGAAGAAACATCGACAACTTCCCTCACTTTCCCCCCAAACCTAGTCTTTCAGATTCACCCACCCCCACCCCCCGCCCCCCATTCCCCGCCCTTCTCCACCTTCAACCTCCGTGGTCTCACTCGTCTTGCAGGTGTTCCTGAAGGAAGCGCTGGAGCAGAGGCTGGAGAAGGAGCGGGAGGCAGTCCGGAGACAGGCTGGCGCGGTGATCCGAGCCCATATTCTGAGCTATGTGGCAAGGTTAGTGATCCTTATGGGAGAAACACGGAGAGGTTGGGAGGTGTATGTACAGGCGGTTTTGTGGTATCAGACCTCTGAACTGTGAGTTTTATTCTGCTGCAGAAAATGTGTACTTTAAACCAAAATCCAAATAGTCCAACCCTGGATTTCGTAGACAGGTGACACAGAGTGCTAAGCACAAGAACTGCGATTGAAAAAAACTATTAATAATAACATGCTAGGAATGTTATTATTAACATTAATGTTATTATTACAGTTATGGAATCATTATCGTCATCTACTGTTTTAGACAGAGATGTTAAGCTTGGAAGAATGTTTTTTTCTGCCTTTTAATTGCATTTAAAATTGTTATTTTCATTTTAAAACTTACAATATGCAATGCTGGCAACATTGTACTGAATGCTTTTAAGATGAAGCAACAGATACCAAAGTATGCTTCAAACAAAGTGTTAAAACAAATTGTACACGTACCTTTATGTTGTAGTTATTGTGTTTTGGGTAAATGAAAGATAGATATTGCCTCTTTTGTTACTTATGAAAGAGGTGGTGGTATACTGTGGGTGAATATAGAATAAAGACAAATCTTTTGTTCCTTTTTTTCCTGCTCTTGTGTTGAAGGGTTAAGAGGTAGATGGAAAGCACTGAAGGAATGGAATGAACTGTTAGACATATTCAAATCAGACAAGTGTGCTTAGGGTTAATGTTGTTAGTAGCTGCCAATTTAGTGCAAAGCTTAAAAATAATGTGACTAAATAAATCACTGGAAGACAAAAGACCACTACAGATCTCAACTGTCTGGTCGCAGTGAACCTCCTTTGTATGTTTACCTGGAATGTACACAGATTAAGGTATGTTTCAGTACTAAAATGATTAATATTAAATGGGTTAAGTCATACTGCTACCTTTGTCTTTCAGGTGTATATGTAAACTCCCTTATAAATGTTACTACTAGATCAGTCCTTGATTTAAGTATGAAATTTGTCCTCTTTTGTGTCAAAACTGACTTGGGTTAATATGGGCTGAATAGCAAAATATGGGCCAATCAATACTTAATATTATGGAGTAGTTAATAGCCAATAATATCAGTTGTTTGTTTTGCAAAGATTGTTTTCTTTGAAGGCAACTCCAGCCCAGTTTTAAAACATATTACTGAATGGGTTTTGCCATCTATTCTACCAGGTGTTTTCTCAGGCTTTGCTAGAATACACTACAAACAGCATATTGTATCTATCCTAGATATTAGGGAATTGTACAACCTAAATCATCCATCAGTAGGATAAACCATTCTTATACAATGGTTTTCTGTGATCTGATGTAGGTTTTAATTAGATACTACAGGGGCTTTATTAAGTACAGTAGTCTTTAAAATTTGGTGTATAGGTTAGGTCAGAAATACAAATTATTAGGAGGTCTGATTGTAGCCAGTGGACAAAGGATGTTTTCATTCAGTCACAGACTGCTGAGCAAGGAGACATCTAACTGGGTGGTCTCTCTGAGAACCTAGTGGTTCCTGAAGTAAAGTCTTAGAAGGAAAATAAAACTTCTCCTGCCATTTGCCCTATTGTTCGTACAATGGAAGAGAAATAATAGAAGGACATCTTTACTAAGTGCAATAAGCTATCAACATTGCCTTCTGCTGGTTTTCATTCTGTTTCAGCTTGGAACAACTTACAATTGGATCAAGCAGCTGCTAAATTAGGAGGGTTTAGCATGCGTTCCAGGACACTCCGTATTGACAGTTTAAGGCTGCCTATAAAACCAGCAAACCAATTGCTCTCTATGACGAGGGTGGCAGGTATCTGCAGTAGAACAGCACCCACTGTCATTGGCACCAAGTCAAAGTTTGCCTAGTTGTAGTGAGGTGAAATTCCTCACTAAGTCAAGTTCCTCTACCTCACTACACTACTATGAGGTGGAAGAACTTCATTTAAGTACATTGGAAGGTATACTAATGAAAGGACGCCAGTCAAATCTATATTGCTAATTTGGATGTATCATATACCTTTCTTGAAACCGAAACCTCTCAAAGAGTCCGTTTTAACCTATTGACTGAGTCAATATGTTATGGGCTCCTACTACTCTTTATACCTCCTATATGCATCACCTAAGTTTCCATTTGTGACCTTGGAGTCCAGTTTCATTGTTGAGCTAGAAGTATTCACTTGGGATGACTTTATCTTACCTTTTAAAGATTTTGAATACTTAGTTAAATCCCTGTTTATTCTCTTTTGTTCAAGACCAATGAGACAGAGTTCGTTTATCCTATCCTGATGTTCCTTTGAGCCTAGGAATCATTTGGTCTTTTTTAAACAATTTTCCAGGCAACAGTAGTAGTAATAATAATAATAATAATAATAATAATTATAATAATAATAATAATTGCTTACACTTATATAGCGCTTTTCTGGACATTCCACTCAAAGCGCTTTACAGGTAATGGGGATCCCCTCCACCACCATCAATGTGCAGTCCCAACCTGGATGATGCAACGGCAGCCATAGTGCGCCAGAACGCTCACCACACATCAGCTATCGGTGGGGAGGAGAGCAGAGTAATGAAGCCAATTTATAGAGGGGGATTGTTAGAAGGCCGATGGGAAATTTGGCCAGGACGCCGGGGTACACCCCTACTCTTTTCGAGAAACACCCTGGGATTTTAATGACCACAGAGAGTCAGGACCTTGGTTTTACGTCTCATCCAAAGGACGGCACCTGTTTACAGTATAGTGTCCCCGTCACTACACTGGGGCATTAGGACCCACATGAGCCGCAGGGTTAGCGCCCCCTGCTGGCCCCACTAACGCCTCTTCCAGTACAGTCCTAACTAGTCCTGGACAGATCCCAAGTCTTTTTGTATTCCCTTTGTTGGTTCTACATTTCATGCACACAACTTACATTTATGTTATCTTTAAATTTATCAAGTTCACCTGTTACATTATTGTTGATGTAATTGTAGGAATGATAGTGAACACACTATCCAAGAGGTGTTCTCCTAATTACATCAGCACATTCTGCAGCTTTACGTCTTGTCAGGGATGTTGTCCTAAGCAGTTCTCAATTAATCACTGTCATTTCAGAATTTATGTGTGTAGAACTTTCTCCTTGAGAAATCCAAGTAATCATGTGTTTTGCTGGTTTCAATTGCACTTGTCGCTTGTTCCAAAAATACTAACTTATAAGGATAAGTTGATCCAGATAGTTAACCTAGATAATGGTCTACAAACTACATTACTACTTTCATTACAATTGGGAAACTACCACCAGACCAATGCAATTAACTCTCAGTTCCAACAACACCTTGTTGTCTCTTATTATTTATTATTGTCTCTATTATTTTGGGATCATGTTTACCTGAGGAAAAGAATACCTGAGGCAAACTTTGCTGTTCTTTTGATGTGGTAGTATTTTAAAATGTTTATATCTTAGTCATAGCCTCAATTGCAATATTACTTTCAGTCTCTTATACATGAAAAAGGCAACAATTATACACTCTTATTTATCCATTAAATCCCATAGGAAGCACTACAAGAAGGTCCTGGCCAGCATCATCACCATCCAGAAGAACTATCGGTCCCATTTCTGGAGGCGCATGTTTCTGCGGCTGCAGGCGGCTGCTCTGGTGTTTCAGAAGCATTGGCGTGGCCAGCTGGCCCGCTCTCTGTACCGACAGCTCCTCGAGGAGAAGCGCAGACGAGAGGAGGAGGAGAGGAGGAAGAGAGAGGAGGAGGAGGAGAGGAGACGAAAAGAGGAAGAAGCCGCTGCAGAGCGGAAGAGACTGGAAGAGGAGGAGCTAAAGAGGAAAGAGGAAGAGGAAGCAATCCGCAGGCGACAGGAAGAGGAGGAGCTGAAGGCTCGGCAGGAAGAGGAGGAGCTGAAGGCTCGGCAGGAAGAGGAGGAGTTACAGCGAAGAAGCGTGACGGATGTGAGCGTGCAGAAACAGGAAGAAAGACAGAGCAGGTATGGAAAATATTCCCTTCCTCTGGGGCTCAATTTTCTCTCTCCTCAGAGGCAGCAGCAATTGGCATTAATCCTGTACTCAGAACAAATAACTACACATCAGACATAAAGTAGAGTAATAACGGTTTGAATTGCATTTACCACAGTTTTACCGTTATATTGTTTTTATACATTTAAAAAATTGCAACATAAAATCTAGAATTTAGCACATGGTGCAAAACAGCAGGAAAAAACCCATTTAGTGTCTGTAACAGAATTCCAATTAAGAAGACACAAACTATGCCACTTCATTAGTAATATGACCACATTTCCCATGACTTTAATTTTGAGAATAATTGTATCAAATTATTGAATACTTAAAAGTCCATAACCAATTATAAATTAATGGACAACCTTCTTGCAAATGCCCATTTTGAAGAGTGCAAATGCTTATCAGTACTAATCACGTCTGTCAGTGCTGCTAAGATTAACAGTATTTTTTCTATTTCATTTTCTTGTAGAGAGATGGAAACACTGGAAGTAGAGTTTCTTTCTCCAAAGGTAATTTCTTACTGTTACAAAAATATTAACAAAGTGGCCTTGTGCAGTAAATAGGTGTATTTAAAACATTGGTGTTATAATGTAGATAAATCGGAAGATTCAAATTATCCAACTTTTAAACTGATTGTATAAAAGACTTTTTGAGCTCTCTATCAAATGTTTTTTTTTAATGTGCATTACAAAATGAAATATCAAGAATGGTACCTTGCACTACAGTTTGTATGTATGCTCGTAGAAGGTGTTCTGGCTCAGGATCCAAATCATTATGCAATAGGTGAAAGAGTTTATAGATTTTTGACAGTATCTAAAATGAGACATCAAAGTGAGGTTGGAGGGGTTAGTCTGTAACCTGAGTGCTGCTCCTTCTCCTTGCAAAGTTAATTATTTTGGCACATTGTTCTTCATGTCATTTATCTCTATTTTTTGTGATGTCTTCACAGCTGAAACCTCTGGAATGCGTTAGACCACATTTGTCTCAAATTGTCATTTTGGGTTGATTGTATTTGTAGAATGTAGAACTTTTATGATGAATTAATGATGTATTAACTGAACTGCAGGACTGCTTCACTCGCTGCTTTAAAATGAACAAACCACTTTTCACTAAACACATCTCTCGCCCCGTTTCTCTCGTGCTCCTCCCTCTCCCCCCTTTCCCAGAAGGAGCAGGCAGCTCCTCGGACTCCGAGCCCGCAGGTCCTGGAGGAGGAGAGTCGTCAGATGGAGGAGATCCTGCGCCTGGAGCGGGAGATCGAGCGGCTTCAAAAGCAGCGGGAGGATGGCGTGTCGCTGCTGTGTGAGACCTCGCGGACCGAGCTGCAGCTGCGCCGCGAGGCCGAGATCCGCCGTCTGGAGAAAGAGGCCTCGCGGGTGGCCCAGGAGTTCCTGGAGCTGCTGGATTTTGGGGGCCTGGAGCACTCTCTTTCCAGCGAGGAGAATCTCAACGAGCCCTCGGAGACCACCACTGCCCCCCTAGCAGAGGAGGAGGTGGATGAGGGCTTCCACGCTGAAGACGAGACCAACCTTCTCCCTGGCACCGAGGAGGACATCTTTGCCAACCTCCCTCCCCCTCCGCCAGATCTTATTGCCCCCGAAATAGTGGAGGAAGCTCCCCCAGTTCCTCAGGAAGCACTAAGCACCTCCGAATCTTGTCCCCTTCCCCCTCCTTGTCTTCCTCCCCCTCCCGCTGTCACAGAGGATGATGGCGATGACTACCAAAGCATTGACCAAGCCATTCCCGAGAGCCTGGCTGACTCGGAGGAGCCCATCTACAATGTTCCCCCAGACCTGGAGTCTGACTATGATCATGACGAGTTTGAGGAGGCCTTGGCCAGCTCCGGAGATGCAGGCAGCACCAATGATGGACACTTAACAGATGAGGAGGTCCTACGCAAATCCACCTGCACTTATAACAGCCTGGACTCATATCGGGGCAGCTCAGATTCAGTGAGTGGCAGTAAGCCTGTTGTTAGGCAATGGATTGTCAGTATGAGCTCCAGATTTATGTCAAGTTTTAAAATGTACAGTCAAATGTTATCCAGTTTTCACTTTTCAACAGTCTCGTTGATTGATATAAACTTGTCATAGCAGTTATTGTTTAATTAAATAATTGAGAAACTAGATGAGGTAAACCAGGATTAGAACCAGATTGTGATTGGCCGTCTAACATGATGATCCACTGAGTATGAAATTTAAAATGGAGTTGCCAACTGTTTCAGATTTTGTTTTAGAAGCAGAGTTCAGTTAAGAAAGACATAAAGCGAGTGAGTGTATTTGTATGATGGTATTTTCTTTACTTTTTTATAACTTTTCTGATTTATAGGACCTGTTGTTCTCCAATAATGATAATTTACTGGATACATTCCCATCAGGTGGAATGTTTTAAAAATATTTTAGAGAAACGCATAAAATCCACAATGAAAATTTCTGTTAGATCATTTGGATGAATAGGAATAACCTAATTTCTGTTATCTGCTAGTGAAACTAGTTTTGCTAATAGTGAATTATTTCTCTAAAAATATTGGAGGTAATTATTTTGTTCAGTTTTTAAAATGTAATACTTGAATTAAAAATACAAATGTTAGACAGTGGATTCATTTTGCTCAGTATAGCTTTATTAAAATGAACAAATCCACAAGATTTGCACTCTGTAAAGTAAATAGGAAATTAAAGAAAAAAACATTTGGAAAAGTTATTTACAAAATGTAAGCCAGTACATTTACATATTACAAAAACACTTTAAATTAAAATACCCTCAAAGTTCTCTGTAAGGTACTAGAGCAGTTAATAACACTTTTTTGCATGTTCTACATCTATAAGATGCATAATTTTCATATTTGATAGTCTGTTTGATGTTTTTATATTTTCTTCAGAGAAGGCAGCAAGCGTTATTGCAGTCATGCTAACTCTTTTCATCTGTGCTTCAATCCATGTGCTGCTGAACATGAAAGCTACTAAGTGTAAATAGAGGCAATTCAGTTAAATTAAGCCTATTCTGGGACAGCCTAGTTACCCTAAGGGGAAAATGTAGGAATGTTTCTTCAGAAACTCCTTTGTTCTCCCCTGCCATTAACCCGCATATGATTAAAATTCACTCAAGTTGTTTTTGCTTGAAATTCGTTCATATGCTTGGCAGCTGTGATGTGCTGAATAGAAACATACCATGGGTGCTTTTTAGAGTGGAGTTGAATTGTTTTCTCAATATGTTTTCAAAATGCAAGATTCTTTCCTAACTTAGTTCCTAATTCACCCATAACTCATTGTCCCTAGTGAAGGTTTTCAGGTATTAAACAATTTTTGTGGGGGTTTTCAGTGATGTAAACAGAGGAATTACAGATAGAGGCATCTTTCAGCCGTTTTCTAGAAGCCTGTGGATTTACAGGAAATTCCATTACAGTGCAAAGAGATAGCATGATTTACAAGTAGAAAAAACATCACAGATTATGAGAAAGAAAAGAGAGAATCAAATAAATGCAGATTTTTGTTGCAGGTTAAGGGAAAGACATAGAAAATGACTGTCTTCAGATGAGATCATCTGTCTCTTTTCTCCAGTTCATTGACAGCGATGATGACAATGATGGCTACATTGACACAGATGAGGAAATCTCTAATGGCAGACTGAGCCTCTTCAATGGGTCAGGCCCTCCATATTTCCACAGCTACCTCTACATGAAGGGTGAGTGCACAGTTTGTTTTCACACCTTCAGGACTGCAGGCCAGCTGTTATGTGCTTGTAACTCCCATGCAAAACATTTAAGCCCGATTGTTGCACTTTCTTTTGTTTTCATTTGTTTAATTTTAGTTAACATAACAGTTCTTCTTTCATTATGAGAAGAAGATGATCCCTCAAAAATCAACTAAAAAAAGCAGAGTGTAACCGAGTTAATTTATAATTCTGTGGTATATCAAATCCTGGTGCTACTTTCCACCAACTCAGAACAGTTGCCATCTAACTGAGCTAAATGTTTTTGAGTTAATTCAGTAATTCTGATTTTTATGAATCCTAGTAATAATAATTGTATTATGTTATTATTATTTTTATTATTAATAATAATAAAACTCTTTAATACTGGAAATCTGTTTCTTAAGTCTTAGTTTTCCTCTCCCTCATTGTAAATAATTGATTTTTACAATGTTATTATAAAATAGCACAGTCAACTGTGTCAGACAAATACCAGACAGAGCCACAGACAGAGGGACACAGTCAAGTTGGCTGAGAGTCAAATAAAGATTGCAAAAATGTGTTTAATTGCTTAATTGAGTTGTATCTCTCATTCCCAAGATCATACATTTGCAACTTGGCTAGCCTTTAATCAACAGAATAAACTCTACAGGGTGTGGTTAGATGATATTATGTATGAAGTTCAATATGAAATATATATAGTGGTTAAAATACGTTTTCATGGAGATCCAAAATGTTTAGACAATGTGTAGTGGCATGTGTCATGTAAACCCTTGATGTAAAGTTCTTGTGGCAGAACCATTCCTACCACTCCTAAGGGCTGTAGAAAATAAATCTAGCTATAAAAATAAGATGAATAGTGTATTATGTTACTTATTGAAAATATTAATATCTCAAATGTTTAAAAGTGTAGATGTTTCATGTTCTAGTTTGCTTTGTTTGCTTTGCATTGCATTCAGTATAGTTAGACTAAAACCTAGCTTCTCCTCTCTTGGTCCTGGTCCTACCATGAATGGCAACCTACAATATGCACTATTCTATATAAAGCTGATGGTCTTATATGAGACTGGCCTCTCCTTCCTGCGCAGGCGGTCTGATGATCCCATGGCGACGGCGCTGGTGTGTGCTGAAGGATGAGACCTTCATGTGGTTTAGAGCCAAGCAGGAGTCCCTGAAGTCTGGTTGGCTGTACAAAAAGGGTGGGGGCCTGTCCACACTCTCCCGCCGCAACTGGAAGATGCGTTGGTTTGTTCTGCGGGAATCCAAGCTCATGTACTTTGAGAACGACAGTGAAGAGAAGCTTAAGGGCACCATTGACATCAGGGCAGCCAAGTGAGAGCACATCTATACTTTTCTCTCTGTTATTTATAGGGGGTGTTTTTCCACCTGAACTTGTTTTTTAATAGAGCCCTGGCATATTATAGTGACCACCCTAAGAGAAAACATTACTGTGTCAAGAACAAAGCTCAAAATGTAAAAGACACATCCATATTTGATGTAGGCTTTGCTTGTGTGTTATGCAAGAGATCTTGCATTACCTAAATTAATTCTACTAGGTGAGAAGTACTGTAGTAAACCTCAGGACTATTCTACTATTTTGGGGAGGGCTGCTCATTTTAATTTGCCTGGACTCTACTTAACACATAAAAGATGGACTCGACACTAAACAACTGTAAGATTAATTATTAACATGGGTCTGTTTGCAGAGAGATTGTCGATAACCACGAGAAGGAGAATGCCTTGGATATTGTGACAGAGGAAAGGACCTATCATATTGTGGCTGAGTCACCAGAGGATGCCAGGTGTGTCATTTGAGGCTCTTAGCGCCTTGCCTTTGTTATCAGACCTAAGATTCCTTGTGTAAATCAACATATAGAGTTCCATGTTTTGTCTTTAAAGAAATGAAATGCCAATGCTGGCCAATACCATTTCTAAAGTAAACTGAAAGAAAGATATAAATCTTGTGGAACAAGTTCTGTGGTTCTCTTATTTCTCTAGCTTGAATATGATGATGATATACAGTAAAGAAGCAGACACTTCAGGTCCAGACATGTTGGTCATTCATCATCCTCCAATCTGGGGTTTCAACAGTTGCTCCATTTGTCTACCTTTTGCCAGCCTATCCAGTGTTAATATCCTGTCAATAGATTATTCGTAAGTGAAAACTAAAAATAATCAAATGTGGGCACAGTTCTTCATGCATTAAAAAGTACAATGCACTAATAAGACCTCATTTAGAATATTGTGTACAGATATCATCACTTTAAAATAGATATTCCTGTTGTCTAGAGAAGAGCAGCCAGATACATTCAAGAGCTTAAAAGAGTGTCCTAGGTAACAACAAGGGGACTTGAATCAAGTATACAAAATCTTAAAAATATATTATGTCAAAGTATACAAAACTATGTAAATTCATTTATACATAGTACATACAGAGGTATTCTGCCCCTTTCTATGATATCTCACTTTGTGAAATTACAAAATGATACATACACATGTTTTAAACCTAATATTGTATTCAAAACCTGAATTCTCAAACTGAACACATCTAAGAGTAAGACAAACTAAATATGAGAAACTAAAGAAAATAAAATGTGTTGATTGCATAAGTAATCGTACCAGTGAGCTCAATATTTGATGGAAGCACCTTTGGTAGCAAAAGTGTTTGGCAATGAGGGTTACTACTACGGCCATTTCAAGTTCAAGTTTATTGTCATTATACTCATACACAGGTATATGGTATAACAAAATGCTATTTAGCTAGCTCTCAGACGGTAAGTGGTACAAAAAACAACAATACAATTCTATAAGAAAAGAAAGACGGAGACAACAGATAATGTGCAAAATAACAGCAGTTGTGCAAAATCATGCATCAACAGAATGAAATAAAGGATACAAAATAATAGGGGGTGAACTTCTTGACATGTGAGGTAGAGGTACTGTAGATTTCAATGTGTGTTTGAGTTTTGATAAAGAGAGAAGGCACCGTAAGGTCGTAGGTGAGAGAGGCTGGGAGTTTAATATTTGGGAAAGTCTACCTTTGCACGCTGGATTGGTAAAGTTTTTGCCCATTTCTCTTGATAGAACTTTCTCATGTTGTTTTTGGATCACGTACGGATAACAATTTTCAAGTTGATCAAAAAGATCAATGTACAGAATATTGAATATAAATAGGATTCAAGTCAGGACTTTGTGCCACTCAAAGACATTTGCTTACTTATTCTTAACCAGTATAATTGCACACAGAGGCTGTTAACCTAATTGTGTGGCTCAAGAAAGTAATTTGTGCACCTAACACCTAAGCAATAACGAGTTCCATTTTTCATTCTGATTAATTACTACTTTTTTGTTTTTTGCTTTAAAAAGTGTGGAGAACTGTATGTAACAAATATTATGTGCTATTTCAAAGTGTAAAGCTTTACAAGGCAATGTGCATGTATATTGTACTGTATATGTACTGTACAGTATATATTTTAAACATGTATAATGTTTGTACCATGTTTCTTCTCAATCTTTTATTCATACAAAAGCTATTTCCTCACTGGCTTTCTCTTACCACCATATTCCTGCCAAGATGACAATATGAAATCATTCAAGTGAATATTTTCAGTAAACACCCCAGAACCACACTGAGAGCCAAAGCACACAGACTTAGAGCAGTTTTAATGACCTCATCATGCACTGGTCAAACTGTAGCACATGGCAGTATTATACAATAAATTCTCTCATTACTCACACAGGGCAGAATAAAGTCATCTTGCTATTACTCATATCTTCTGTGAAACATCTCATTCCCATTAAACAGATGAATTTGTGCTGCAAAATTTGTTTTTGGGAAGGAGGCAGATGGATATTCAGACTTTATGCAAGACTTGAAGGTTTCCATTCAGAACGTGCATGTGCTCAGCAAAGCACACTATAAAATGTCTGCTGCAATGTCATTCTGTATGAGATGGTAGTTCAGAATTCAATATTCAATATTGAACGTCTGCACTGCACACTAGCTGCAGTGCATCATGGCCTAATTGTGCCTTGTCTCTGCTTTTTTCCCTGTTGTTTCAGTGGCTGGTTCAACGTGCTGAGTCGGGTTCACAGTGCCACTACAGAGCAGCTGCTGGAGATGCAGGATGAGCAGGCTAACCCCAAAAATGCTGTGGTCAGCATTCCCTCTTCACTGCATTACACTGATTTTCTGTTACCAGTTTGTCTCATACACAACGAAATCTGATCTGCAGTAAATGTTAAAAGCAAGAACATAACTTCCATTTGAGAAACAGAAATATATAATGAGTTTTAAAGTGAGATGTGAAAATAAGAATGCAATGTAACCAGCACTTAACTAGCTAGGAGGTTCAATATCAGGAATGTTATCTAAATAAAACTAGATGACGTGATTATTGTAATGATTGAGTATCAGTGTGTCTCACTGGTGGATTTCATATCTCATGCAATCAAATAGCTCAGAAGCAGAGGTATACAAGTGAGACTTGACACCAACAGTACTTAAGCGGTCGACGGGTCGTGAAATTAAATATTAAATGAGCCTGAGTCTTGTCTCTATCCAGCTGTGATCAGGATTCCTCAAGAGCTGCCGCACAATTGGCACACAGTGACTCCAGTGAGGGACACAACACTGGATGTCCTCTAACTTGCAAAAGAGATTGTAGAATGTAAAAAATGGATGTGTCATAGCAGCCTATCTGCATGCCATTCTGCCCAAGTGGCTACAGGAGTAGCTACTATGAGCTGAAATGTGTAGATACAGTTAGTGATTCCAAATTGATATGATGGTTTGTATAATTAGAAAAAATAATTGGCAAATCTAAATTGTTTTTCAATAATAGAATAGTAAATAATAAAAATAAATACAAAATCATACTGTTGCCACAGCATAGACATGAACTACTTTGTGACAGACATGTATGAGTATTAGACAAATGACTAATGAAAGAATTCAGTACACCTTCTGATACCAAATTATTATCAAAAATGGTTGCAGGTTTTCAGTCAATGGTGCAAAAAGTATCTGGAATTTAGAAAGGTGCCATCAAATGAGATCAAATGGATGTTGCAACTGTTTGGTCAAAGTTTTGGTTTATGATTTACTATATCTTTAAATAATACTGTTGTATATGACTTCTAGGACTAGTCTTCTTTTACAGAATGGTATCTTTTCTTTTTAACATGCTGTGTGTTTTTCCATGTTCCAGGGGACTCTCGATGTCGGACTGATCGACTCCGTTTGTGCCTCAGACAATCCTGACAGGTAAATGCCCTCTGTCAAACATTGTTGGAGCCTCATTTTTTTCTATCAGACGAATCAATGAAAAGCACAAAAGGACGTACAAAAATGGCACTTTAAACGGTACAAAATTAAACCATGTTTTTATTTCTGACGTTTTGCATCAGACAATCACTGTACTGGAAAATATTTTTCATTCTAAAGAAAAATCGTCACTGAGAACAGATTTCCTGTGGTGCTTGTATACTGTATTAGTACGTGTATGGAAATGCATACCACTGTATGCAATAAATAATATGCAAAGGGAAATCCCATTTCAGCTAACAACCCTAAGTAAAGACTTAACACCTCACAAAGGAGATTAATAGTTGGAAGGTGGAATCTGATTATTAAAGACATGAAGGACAGGAAGTTGATTGAAGAACTAAACATATAGTAAGCAGTGGGATGTAGCTATGCTAAAAGTGCTGTTTTTGTTGTCTCTCCTTTTAGGCCCAACTCTTTTGTGATCATCACAGCAAACCGAGTAATCCACTGCAACACAGACACTCCTGAAGAGATGCATCATTGGATCAGCCTGCTTCAGAAACCTAAGGGAGACTCCAAAATTGATGGGCAGGAGTTCTTAGTGAGAGGTACTTCGGCTCTTGGGCTTTCAAATGGGGTACAAAATTAGACTGTGACTTCTAGTTTTACATAGTGGCAATGGTATTAATATTAGTAGTATTTCATTTATTATCTTATAACCTGACACCCGTATCCAGAGGGACTTATAATGTTGACATTTTAGACTTTTTTTTACATGCAGAAGGAAGTTTTACTTGTTCTTATGAAAGTGTACAGACATTTAGTGAAACTATACAATAAGTAGTTAGAATTTAAAAGAGACCATGAGTAAATTAGTAAATCATAAAGCAAATTACATGGTAGTCTGAGCATCAGATAATCATGGGTGGCTGCTTAATCACTGTGAAAAAGGAACCTAGGAAGCTTATAAAAGCTATAGGCATGTCTCTTACCTTTTGCTTGTCAATCCTATTATCTCAGGCTGGCTCCACAAAGAAGTGAAGTCTGGGGGGAAGAGTACCTCGCTCAAGCTGAAGAAGCGCTGGTTTGTCCTCACCAACAACTCTCTAGACTACTACAAGTCCTCAGAGCGCAGCTCCTCCAAGCTGGGCACACTTGTCCTCAACAGCCTTTGCTCTGTGGTGCAGCCTGATGAGAAGATATTCAAGGAGTCTGGTAAGTCCTTGCTTTCACTTGCTTTAGATTAGTGCTTTCTGTTTTATAAATGTTAATGTTTAGAAAATGGATAAGGGAAGGTAATAAACCTATTAGTCCAAGTGGTAGCTAGACTATGGTTAGGCAGTGTAAATGTACCAAACTTCTGTCACAGAATAGTCTTTAACGCCACTTCAGAATTTCCAGGTTCTATAAAAAAATAATTGTGATATTTTTTGTTCCTTCTTTTAAAATCACTTTATTATGTATCTTCCTTATCTCTAAGTGTGTATTCTTATATTTTTTCTTTAATTTTTTGAGGAATATGTCTACAAGGTGCATAATACATAAATGATTTTTATTAAAATACTTTGGTAGATTGATGTTATGTTATTTTCATTCACTGTGAAGCTTGGGATCTTAGAACTACTTTGTTATATTTACATTTTTTTCTTGTTTTAAAGATGTTCTTATCTAATTTCTTCACTTATCTCTCTAGGTTACTGGAACATCATTGTCCATGGACGCAAGCACTCTTATCGCCTCTACACCAAGATGCTGAACGAAGCCATGAGATGGGCCACAGCCATACAGGGTGTGATCGACAATAAGGTGCCCATTGAGACACCAACACAGCAGCTGATCAGGGACATAAAGGTAAAATGTGGCAATGTACCAGACAGATAGAGTGCTGCTTTACTATTTTAGTATATCTGTTGACAGATCAAACAACAGTATGTAGTGGGTAATTTTTTAATACAAACTGAAAAAAGTGCACTACTGGACAAACCTCAGAAATTCGACCCGTAGGTGGTGTTGCAGTTGCAAGTATTTTAATGCAGCATTTTAGCTATGAATAGTTAAGGCAGTTAATATCTGCAGGCCATCATAAGAAACCTATAACTACAACACATTTACAGAGGATCTTCTGTTAGAAAACAAAAGTCCATTTTGTAGCAAGTGCATTGACATTTTGAATGTGGACAAGCAGATGGTTTAGATATTGAATCAACTTGACGGTCATTAAAGGACAAGTGTACAATTGGGTATCACCAGCATTAAGATTAGATTTAAGTTTGAAGTAAGATTGAATTTGTGTTTAGAAAGAAGTTAACCCAGAGATAAAAAATAATGGGCCTAACTAAACAATTTTTGGTACACTGCTCAAAACAGATTTCAGAGTAGATTTAGTGCCATTCATAGAAATATACAATTCTCATTAGGAAGGTATGTTTAAAACCTTAATACCTTAATTAAACCTTAATAGAGCTGTAATAGAGCTTGATAACTGACAGATAAACCAATTCGAAGATTTCATTCTGTAGAGAGATAATACAGGATCAATAAAGGCAGGTTTGATATGACTGTCATTCTCAAAAGAGCCATTTCAGTACTGTGCATTTTGTAATTAAACACATAAGTTTTCATATAAAATTACGTGATTTGAGATGGTTAATTTGAGAC